AAATGTGACTCATCGAATACCGAATAGTTACGAAATACCAGGATTTTTATCATTGTGGTAGATTGTTGCATCATCATAATTCACGAGGTTTTCACGTGCGATTCTACTCAGTGAAACAGTCTTTAACTCCGACAACTTATTTCTTCATGTTTTAAAAGCTGTTGCTTCTTAAAAGACAAGAACCTTTTTTAAGGCATTGGTTACAAAACGAAACAGGTCTTCATATGTTCAAGTTACTATTATTATTGTGAAAAGCCGATCTGATGTACAGTCACACAGTTGGCACGTGAAAGTGTTGGACTTTGCCCCCTTTTGTGGTTCGTACGTGAGGGAATTTAAGTTATCAGACAGTAATCTAGTAGACAGAATTATAAAAATAACTCATGCACTCATTTTGCACGTGAAGATGTTGGTCTTTGGCCCTTTTACAATTCGTACGTAAAAAAAACGCAAATTGTTTACTACAAAATTTTCTCAAACGATTTTAAGAAATCACCTCGGCTTCATTACAACATCTACAATTGAATTATGTTTCATGCAACGTCAAGATTGATAGCCTAACATTTATTAACTTCCAAGAAAATCATCAAACTGCCGAAATATATTTCTACTCATATCATGTTACTCCACTCAATAAAACAGTATCTAATTATTGTGTCAACTACAACGTTAACGTAGCTTCTTCCAATTTTATTCCCTAACGCTACTGTTTCTACTTAAGTTACGCATCTTTACTAAATAAAATACGTTTCAATAACTATAATACTTAGTACGCAGGGATGATTTATCATGTTGTTCATTTATTCTTTTTTCGTTGTTTTGCTGGAAAGAAAAAGTTTGAACCTTGTAAGCGAGAGAATAATATTTTTAAAGCTTGTTTACAGGATTAACAATACTCGGTACAGCTTTCAAAAAAATAAGCTGCCTTTCAAACTTCTAAACCCACATTTTATAGGCCGCATACTTTCGAATTTAAGTCCATATCTAAATATCAATTATTGCTTCATTGGAAGAGCTTTGAAAATATATGATCTTTTACACCCTACCCAGTTGAAGCACGTGAAACAGAACTCATAAATACGTGCGTTGTACCGTTTGCGATAGCCGAATTCGGTCAGAAATGTCTTGAAGCAGCATCCACACTAAAATATGAACCATTAAACAGCTGCATCACTGTACACAGCATTTGAATCATGAAGATATTTTTAAAATGTAATGCTTCCAAACACCTGTAGCCGTAATAAAAGACGAAAAAATTGTGAAGAATCAAGATGGCGGTCTCAAAGTGCCCTTGTCGGCCTTTAGCAATGCCATATTTAAATAGATGCCAAGATCTCATCGGTTCCTAAGCATCAACTCATAGTACCTTCAGCCTTATTGGCTCTTGCAACAAACATCCAAACATACAAAGCCAAGATGCATACGCTCACACCACTGACATATGAGCTATTTTTTCAAAATAGCTCAAAAACAGGAAAATTTTTTAATTATCATAAAACTGAGGCCGGTCCCGTGCTTATTCAGAGATTTTTTAAAATAAAAAACTTTTGTTTCGCGTCGCCGACCGAACTTTACGCGTGTCAGAGCAGAAGTAACAATTTCTTTTGAAAAACTAACTAATGAACCATCCTAATTTGAAGAATTGAATTTTAATACTAAAAATAAATTGACTGACCTAGGTGTCAGTGAAGACTGTCAACTTTGCGAGAAAAAAATTCTAAAATAGATTAAAAGTCTGAACCGCTGTGAAGATTACCATTTCTTCTTACGGATGCTTTTTGGGACTATTTTTAAAATATTATTGTCCCCATATTTTTAGCGGTAACATATGTGTGGCAAAAAAGCTTGACAGAGAGATGGTTGAAGATTACAGCTTGGTCATAACTGCCACGGATGGTGGAAACAAGGTTTGTAATGATATACAGAACACTCCTTTCTCAGTCAGTTTTTTTCCTTTCTCTCCACTTCTCAATGGGGCGGGTCTACTTATTCCACTTGTAGAAGGTTTTCTCAACAACTTTGGTTTCGATTTTGCACCTTTTCTTTTTGCAAGTGGATGATGCCATTTAAGGCAGGCAAGATTGAACCTTTCATCGAGTCTATAGTTTGTTTTGAGATATCTGTTAGCCTAAAAGATAATGGTTTTGATCTTTGGCGGCAATAATTTTCTCACCTAATGAGGTGTCTTTTCATAATAGGAGGTCATCTCATTTAGTTTTGGTCATTAGTTAATTTCTCCTTTCAGTGTTGAGGGGATTTCTTGTTTCGTCTATGCCTCGGCTCGTTTCCAGTTGTTATTTCGGTCCTAGAGACAATCTTGCTCAAAGAAAATGGGCCAGTTAAAATGTTGGCAGTATGATTATGTGCGAAGAAATCTCCAGTAGCTTCACATTTGATTAAAATAAATCTGCTTGGCTAAACCTGGTTTTCCAAATTCTTGGGGTTTTTTTGTTAAAAGGAACACTCCTTGTGTTATCAAATATTAGTTTTCCTTTTACACTCAGTCAATTAATGTCAATATCCTATTGGTTTTTAGAGTACTTCTGTCAATGTGTCGATTCTTGTCAGTGATTTCAACGACAACTTCCCTCAGTTCACTTCAACGGATGGTTACCAGTTTACTGTTGTGGAAGCTACCGCTGGATTGCTTGTGGGCTCGGTTAAGGTAATTATCGTGAGTACACAGGTGTTTGTTTTCGACGCTGGTGTGCCTTCATATTTTAACATTAATTCCATTACCTGAATGATCAAACGTGCCCTTGTTTGTACTGGAGACGCATTATCCCTCATAGACGAACTTGGGTTGGAGTTGGATCATTTGTCTGAAAGTTCTTCTGAAATAAAGACGTGCCCAAGACTCATGATGCGTGTAGTATAAAACAATCTTTAGTAGCTCGCCCAAAGACACATAATAAGAGATAGTCTGACCTGTATTATCCGTTTGTGTTTATAGAGACCGAAGACAAAGGTAATTTGTGTTCGTTTGATCATGCGTCTCGCTAAAAGTAAGAACCATCTAAACTGGATCATTTGTCCAGAAGAACTCTCGGCTTTTGTGTATTTGAAATGAAAAGTGGGGAGTTGCCTGCGCCTGTCTTATCTCAAAACAAGCCCTAAAAGGAAACAGCAGGTGCTAACCTCGTCTACACGGATTTTAAGTCTTCTTTAAGTCTTCTGGTTAGCTCAGTTGGGAGAGCGCTGGTCTGCTGAGCGGGAGGTCACTGGTTCGAACCCTGGCCGGACCAACACTCAGGGTCTTTAAATAACTGAGAAGAAAGTGCTGCCTTTGTAATGACATCTGCAAACAGTTAGACTTTCTAGTCTTCTCGGATAAGGACGAAAAACCGTAGGTCCCGTCTCACAGCACTTACACTTACCTGGTTCTTGTGGGACGTAAAAGAACCCACACCACTGTTCGGAAAGAGTAGGGGACGTAGACCCCAGTGTTGTGGTCAACCTTCACTCATCACATCATTCACATCATGGGTTGGGTGGGTACAGTAAGCTCACAATTGGACTGAGAGCAGCTGCCAGTGGCGCCTTTGTATGCTGACGTCCGAGCTTACTGTTCACATGTTAAAATGTATTATAAGAGGGCACGTCTGTTGTCCTCTCATCCACGACTCTTCACTCTCTTCATTTCATTTCATATAACCGCCAAAAAATAGATAATTTAAGATAAATCGTAATTAACAATTGGATTTGAATTTTTGGCCTTTTTTGTCTCAGGCTAACGATAGTGACAGCGGCGATAATGCTCAGATAGTGTACTCACTGGTGTCAACACCGACATCGAATAGGTAGGGTGTTGCTATTAACCATTACAAGTTCAAAATGACTGCAAAAGTGAAATATATGTATAGTTTTATTTTGCATATTTATTTATCAGCTTTGCCAATTCTTGGCTGGGTTATTACCACAGCCTGAAACCAGTTATTGTGGGCCCGTAACCTTCCCCTATCCCCTTGTGAGCTATCTTCATTACGCTAAGCAAATTTGATAGTGTCTGAGATTCGCAGTCAGTAGACATATTACTCTTTCCTAGTTTCAGAATTAATTCTTCCACTGGTGAAATCTTTACCAATGAAGCGTTAGATCGTGAAGTTGTAAACACCCACTTGCTGATCGTTCAAGCTCGGGATATGGGCGTCCCGCAACTGCAAAGTACAGCGGTTCGAGTGTCAATCACAGTCACTGATGTCAACGACAACGTGCCAAGATTTTTCGAGGCTCAACCCAAGCTAAACACAGCAAAAAATGATTTATTGTGTGGAAAGTATAACAGAACGGTTAGTATCTTTGCATTATCCTTTATGACCGTACCTGAAAAGAAAAGTGTATTTAAAATTTTAAACAACCCTCATGTTACCAATAAAAAAAGTGCGTCGACGTAGAATGACGTGCATTTATTAAATGATTTGCGCTAGAATTTGAGTTTCATCGAAATAGACTCAGACGTTGTTCTGTTGTACCTCTCCGCGCGTCAAGATCAAACTATTTCAAAAGAGCCCAATTTTTTAGTTTCAATAGTGCTCTATCTAGCCTTAGAATATGTTTAACTTTTTGGAAACTGTTGTTTTGCGGCTTTTGTTGGCTTGTAAATGTTACCTTGAGATAGGCGTACATAATAGACAAATTTATTTGCGATAGTGGACTGTAAGTGTGCCTATCATTGCAATTTATGTCGTGAAAATTTGAGCATTGCTTTATAGAATTTTCAATTTTCTTATAGCATTACTACGAGTTTCGTGTTGAAGATTTGACTCCAGCTAACGCCAAAATTGGCAGAGTGAAGTCGGTTGACAAAGACGAGGATTTGAACGCCAAAACATTTTATCGCATTCAAGGTAATTTGGAGTCTCGTCAATTAATTTCGAATACAGTAATTAGAAATTCTCCAAACCAAATTCCACAGAAACAACTGTTCCCTTTTTTTACAAAATGCAAATGTACTTAAAATATTAAACTGTGTATATATAGCTTAGTAAAACTGATAAAAAAATTGGTTAAATAAAATGAAAAGACACCTATTTATAAAGCCATATTTCAACAAGATTTGTTGGATTGGTTGGAACAGTGAAAGGATAACTTCTTATTCGCAGCAATATAAATCCCGTTGGTGCCAATATCTGATGTTTCCGACAGTTTTTGAGCTGGTTTGAACTCCTTTAGGAAAGCGAAACGGGACGTTCTTTTTTTTTTATTTGTCAGTTATAACAGTATGTTATCCCCTGTTAAAAAGGTAGTAATAAACAGGTTTTTTGTTAGTGTGGTCCCTAACAATTAAACGTTTGGACAATTCACCCACAGTGGTAATTTGCGTAAATATATTACAGTCGAAAATTAACTCTTCACGAAATTAAGATATTGGATATTAATGCGACTTAAACTGACCCAAATGTGATAGGAGACGACTTTCAAATAAAGGAAATTACCGCGAAGGAGGAAAATAAAAGTAGGAAACTATTAACGCAACGTTCATAGAGAAACAAAATTTGCTGAGATAATAGGTACAAAGTCAAAGGTATAATTAGGAATGAAAACTTAGTTCGTTGTATACTTTCCCTAAACGTACATTTCACTGATACTGGCGGATCTCCACCCTTATAAAATACTCCTCCTTCTTATGTGTCAAGAATGTCAAAAGTGTATCGAAAAGTTGGAATCGAAATAGTGGAAATTAAGACGGCGGAATTAAACCCTCCACTCGATTAATGGCCTGAAAGTTAACGCTTACAAAAAAATTGAAAAAGTTAAATTTATGAAGTGTTTTAAAATTCCCTTTAATAATGTAATTTTACGTACAATGATAACGATGATGGTAAGGAGCCATGGTAATTTGTAAAAACTCAGAAAGGAGTAATAAGGTAGTAACTGTTTGCTGCTATATCATGACAGGTAATTATTCAGAGGTTTTTTCCATTGAACGCGAGACAGGAGTAATTCGCACCAATCGACAGCTGGTAAGTGTTGTTAAGAGCTGTAGTTTCTTCAGACAGAAAGGCTACAGACGTACATGTAGTGTGGTGTTCTGTAACTCTCAGCCGCTAAAATCCGTACGAGCAAGAAAAGCCTACATGCACTTGGGCTATTAATAGAGGGTGTTTAAAACTGTTGCCGTAAATATTTTTGGTTAGCTATTGTTTTTAATATATATGTCCCTTGTAAAAATCTTTTCTGTTGGGTCATTTAATAACCGCAGAATCCTAAACACCTCCATACTGCCACTGTAGATTATTTACATTTGTCTTATGACCAGCCGCTCTTATTCTTTAGATCCGCCTTGTATTTGCAGCATTGCAACCTTTCATGGAAATTGCCAGCAAATGCCTAGGGTATGAGAGGTGGGGTTTGGGGCAAGCGATCACACGAGGAATTGACTAGGCTATTTAAATAGCAAACAAATATTGTTACAACTATTGTTAAAGTACTAGACTGAACGAAAACTGACGGGAGGGGGTTCTGTGCAAGTGTAGTCCTGACGCAAGTTGTTTAAAATGTTGCCGCAAATATTTTTGGTTGTTCAAAAGTTGGATAACCTTATTATATCTACCGCGTGAATTGCTTTTCAGTGGATACCTTGTAAAGAAACCCATCGCGTTATCCATTCGAGTCAGTGGATGACACTATCCACCTCCTGAATTACACGTTGAATGAGAGTGTTGAAGACAATACATTGTAGCTTAGTCAGTGTAGTCCAACCATCATATTCAACCTTCTTATGATATGACTTCTGCAGCTGTTAAGTGACCAGTTTTGCTTCAGTCCTTCTTTTTTTTCTCTCAGAGACGTGCTGAAAATGCGACCTACATTTTGACTGTGGTGGCCGAAAACTCCCTGGCTTCTCCTCAATTGTCGTCTAACGTGACAGTATACGTTTTCGTATATGACGTGAGTGATCAAACACCACAATTCACCCAAAGCGAATATAAAGCCATGGTTGCTGAGTCTGTGACAGCCGGAACAACAGTTATTAAAATAAATGTGACCAAGAACGATAAGGTAAAATACATCATTATCCCTCGTATCATAAATATTTAATCTATGCATACATGTGTACAGTGATGAGGACGGCTTTTCTTAAAATATGTCATCATTATCCCTGAATTCAAGTACAAATCTGAATTCAAATATTTAATGGACTTAACATTTTGCGAAAATGAAACATTAGAATGGTTCTTTCTCGAATGGAAACTTTTAATATAATTTCCCCCTCGAATGGTTAATATGGTTCCCTCACGTACTTCAAGTTACTTTACTGTTCTTCCTTTTTGGTCTCAGTAGATTCCTTTGTCTTTACGAAAATCTAGAAAGCCCTAACAAAGCACTGAAGTAGTCAGGAAATTCGTACGTTTACTTATTTGCATGATGGTGCAGATGCGGATTCTGATTTTTCTGAGGGTTTTTTATAAAAGCATGTGACAGGGTTTTTCAAATGGTGAGAAAAGGCCAATTAGTCCGTTAAGGAAGCATATGTTTTGACTTTAAAAATAGGGAATGTCCAATGTTTAGCGTGATAAGGTGAGAATTCTAACGTTTGGAAAGATAAGGTAACAATTCACATGTTTGGGTTAAGGTGAATTCAATCTTTGAAAAAATCGTTTGGAAGGTCAAAATTAATGTTTGGAAGAAATTCCAATGTTTGTTTGGAAGGTTAGGTTAGAATTCAATGTTTGGGAAAGGATCCAAAAGGGTGAGAACTCCAAGGTTTGGAAGAATAAGGTTAGTATTCCAATGTTTTGAAGGATAAGGTTAGAATTTCCATGTTTGGAAGGATGAGGAGGGAATTCCAATGTTTGGAAGGATAAGATGGGAATTCCAGTGTTTGAAGGATAAGGAGGGAATTCCAATGTTTGGAAGGATAAGGTGAGAATTCCAATATTTGGAAGGATAAGGTGGGAATTCCAATGTTTGGAAGTATATGGTCAGAATTGCAATGTTTGGAAGGATATGGTCAGCACCTTTCAAAGTGTTAAATTTCCCGGATAGCAGAAACGTCCCCTCACTGTTACCTCCAGAAATGTGATATTGATCAGCCGCATTAAGAAATATATTTACATTACACAGAAATAAATTTCATGCTTTTATATAACTGTTGGTATGTACTTGATAAATATCTGTGAATATTTTTCTTTGCAGGCAGCCTTTATATTTAAGATATTGCACGATCAAACTAGTGCGGGGTCAAGAAAGTTTGTGATAGAACCTGAAACAGGAGTGATCACTGTCCAAGGAGAACTTGATAGAGAAACAATTGCAAATTACACAGTATGTATTACAAACCTGCTCGCCCCCTTACCTTGTATTCTCTGTAACTTACATGGAATCCCTCTAGGAAACTGCTAATATATGGAGAAGTTTTAATTGATATAAAATCTTTCTACGGACTGGCTCTAGCTTTTGGAAGGTGTATAGCGGTATCCACCATGTTTTCATCTGGTGGATAAGACAACCATCTTTTTAACAACTGGGCCAATAAAGATTTATTATATTTAGAATTCAGGCCAGGTACACTCCAGCTCGCTATCTTTCACCTATCGCGACGGCTTAAGCTTGCTATCTAAATGTACCATTTAACTATGTGGCTTGACTGGACCCTTTTAGCGGGAAAATTTAGTTCGAGTAAACAAAGTTAAAGGGTTGTTTCTCTGACCGCCGCCTAGTTTGCTCAGTTGGAAGAGCGCCGTCCTACTGAACGGGATGTCGCTTGTTAAGACCCCGGTCTGCGGGACCAATACTCAGGGTCTTGTTAAATATTGAGAAGAAAGTGTTTTCTTCTGCTGACACCTGCAAACGGTTAGAATTTCTTTTCTTCACGGATAAGGACGGAAAAAAATAGGTTTCGTCTCACAGTGTATGTACAGTTATGAATGTGTGTGTATGCAAACAGTCACTTGTCAGTGATTTTTTATCAGATAACATATCGGGCCCAATTTTTGACAAAATTGTCGATCTAAAAGTATCCAGACAATGTCGTTCAATGTAGTTAGATATCTTAACTGAACTCTTTTTTAAATTCATATTGCAGTTGAAGGTCCAAGCGAAGGTGCTGAACACAGATCTTCCAGGCGTGTTCTCTAACATCGTTCCCGTATTTATAAATATAATTGACGTGGATGATAACGTTCCTCGCTTTGTCAACCGAAGTTATAGGTATAATTTTCCTTATAAAATTCACAATTTACTGTCAAGGGCCAGAGGGTAGACTCCTTGGGTTAACAAGACGTTCTTTAGCAAGATAATTTACATTAGTATTTACCAAAGCAGTGAATAGCAATTTTCGCGTGTTTCGATTGGCTCCCGTAACTTGGAATATCCTTGACTATTCACTGTTTTGCGACAGGACCCATTGATGGCGTCTCGTTTCGAGACATTTTCGGAAGACGAAATTTGTATGATAAATGAAGCATTCGTACAAACAAATACCAAGAAAGCGACGAACTTGGTTTGTCGGTGTTCACTGGTAGGTAGAAAATTATTTTCATACTGAATTTGCAACAAAATCGTAAAATGCACTGGACAAAATCCCCGAAGTGTTCGTAAATTGTGAACAAAATCCCTACCGAGTGACGTCTGTAATTTACAGAATTTACTTTTTTTCAGTTTTATTCAACTGGTTTGGTAAATACTAAAACAACTATCCCCCTCAGAGTCGGTGAACAGCGCTAGATATATACCTTTATTACCACCCTTATTCACCTCCCCTTCGGAGGATAGTTGTATCGGATACATATGTCCCCAAAGTTCAATTTTTAACCGCACCGACCTAAAATAATACCTAATAGTAAGGCAAGGAAACGTCTTTACTTGAGACTAACTGGCTTATCGAGTTAGAGCTTAACCTACGTTTCTGTAACATATGGCGACTAGGAATCAGAACTATTTCCATTTCGCCTTTGACTAAAACCAGTGCATCGCAGGAATATCCCCCACCCGTTACCCATTTATACACCTGGGTGGAGTGAGGCACTTTGCGAGTGAGAGAGAACACGTCTTTCTTTTGTTTGGATCCGCTCAAACATGTCCTGTTTCAGGTTTATCGCGCGTGAGCTGTCACGTGTTGGTGATGTCATTGGACAAGTGAAAGCTGTGGACAAAGATAGCGTTAAACAAACAAAAGTGTTTTATGTGATAGCTCGTGGTAACGAGAAAGGTATGCAACAATCTTGCTATATTTTCCTGCACGATTTAGTCGTAAAAGTCAAAACATCAAGGGCAATATGCTTGGCGTTTTAAAAGTGATATTTTAAAAAACGTTATATATGAAACGTTAGTATCACTGTCACCCATTTCAGAACACGTGCCATTTCAGATTCACTAAGAAAGTTCGCTTTTAACTGCTGCGGTTATTCATTCTCTTTATGTCTCGTTGACAATTCTTTTTAGGTCTTTTTAATATCAGCGAGGACCTGGGAACTATTCAAGTCTTTCAAACTTTGGAACGTGACGCAAATTCAACCTTTCATCTGATCATACAGGCACGTGACGCACACGTGGGTAATGAACTCCGGAAACGAAGAGGTATAATTATGTACTAGACTAGTGACGGCAAGTGTTGAGAACAGTCTGCTAACAGAATGAAGCTCCCCGCAATGATAATGACGTAATTTCATCATTAACCTTGAGAGCCAAAACAGCCACAAAATCAAGTCTGCCAAGTACAATGTCAATGATATAAATTTTATATGGGTAATTGCTTTGTGCCTCTAGAAGAGAGAATAATTGGACTCTCTTGGCCTCTTTTAAGCGTCGTTATATGTCGAATTGCACCTTATCATTATTTGGAGGACGTCAGCGCTTCCCTTCCTGGCGTTGAAGTTTGAGTCAAAACGGTTGTTCTTCAAAACAGTTCCCTTGTGCCGGCAATTTAATACACACCTCTATTTTTGGACAACCTAAAAATGGCCAATTGAGAAATCTGTGGTTTTTGTGTGAAACTATGCGTTCTGCATTCTGCCCGCTGTATGTTACAATTGATATACGAAGCTAAGAAAGGTCTTAAATTTTATTCTCGTTGATGAAGTGATAAATATGTCTCGTATCAAACATAGCACCATTGTTTCGAACGCGAGACATGGGAACAAATCATGACCTCCCCTTGTGAACGAGCTACCTGCTTTTACATGTCGACTGGAAGCCTGTTTTGCTATCAAATGTACTAGATCAGCATCCATTTGTTGCAACTTTTATGTCAATGTCTCGTTCTTCTCCTATTTCTGTTTAGATCAGGGCGATGTTTTTGATGAGGTTACCACGACAATTGAAGTTCAGGATGAAAATAACAACAGACCTGTCTTCACTCAAAATATTTTCATCGGAGGTGAGGATATTGCAGTATCTCGTCCATTTAGTGTCACTCTTCAGACTTCAGTCAACGGAAAGGTTTTTGATCCGTCTCCTTTACTGAATAGGGACCCTTAAGCGACGTTTTCTCTGCCGTCGCCGTCCTCGGATCTTAAAGTCCCTAATGACCAAAGAAATACCGCTTCATCCTCGTGACCAGTCGTCTCCTCCAGGAGGAACGTGACATGGCTTGATTCAGTGATTTCGTCGGTTCAATGTTACGGCTTTTAGCAGAGTGTGGGGGTATTTTTTTCATTGGAGCTTTTCTGCTGGTTTCTTCTGTCTTTGCGTAGTACTATCAGCTTTGCAGATTTTGTCTTCGGTTAGTAGGGAAGCCACGTTGTTCGTTGCGATTGTCGGGAGAATTCGCCTATCATGCTATCACGCTCAGTTCTAAGCCTCCTCCGCTCACGGAGTTATTACGATTTGGCTAGTAAACAAGGCTGATCCCCTGTATTGAGTACTCAAAAGTTACCAAAGCTAGGAACTGAATCTTCATGATGGCAACTCAACCTGTAACAATTATACCCGTAAATGCCCTGTCCGAAAAACTGTCTCCCTCTGGGAGGTTATAACATTTATTTTACATTCTATTTTAGGTTTTTTGGAGAGAGAGGCTACTGAGAAACAAATCGTGGCAGATGTTAAGGTACTTTTTTTTCTGTTTTGTCATCTTACTATAGCGTAGCAAAAATAAATAGATAAATCGATCAGCCAATCCATCGTTTGTCTATATACAGTCGACTTTCTCTTAACGGACACCTCTATAAGACAGACACCTCTGTAAAACGGACACCTAGAATTGGTTTCTGTCTTTCTTTACTCTCCTTATTTGACTCTCTGTAAGGCGGACGTCTCTTTAAGACGGACACTTAGTACCGGTCCCAAAGGCTTCCGTGTTAGAGAGAGTTGACTTTAGACAAGACAAATTTGCTTGTTTGATGATCACTCCTCGCGTCAGGTTTTCCCAGCACGAATGTGCAATTAATACAGTAACAGTAAAAGTAAGAGGAACTATGAATGAATTTGATGTTTCAACGATCAATTGAAGTCGCTGTAAATCATCCTTGAACAAATGAACTGTCAATTCTTTATTCCACTCCAATGAACTTCAATTTACTGTTCACTCGTACAGAGGTTTCTAATAACAATAATTAAACCCAAAGTAAGCTATACATAATCGGACCAAAAAATAAATACAACACAAAGAAAGGCGCACCGAGGAAAACTAAAGAAATTAACTAAAGGAAATAAAAAAGCACATTCCAGACGGTGAAGATATATCCGAACATTGAACGAAGATACGTGAACTACGATAACCGTATACAAACGATACTAGAATAACGGTCACAAGTGTTTAACTAAACGGACGAAACCGCTGGTCCTAAATACGTGGAGACAATCCATCCCTTAGTTACCAGACAGACCTTTATCTTGCCCAGTTACTGTGATTCAGAGAAAGTGCTTTGAAAATTGTCATGTTTAAAAAATACTGAACTTCTACATCGCAGAGACTACGTGTGTAGGTTACACCATTGTTCAAAACCATACGCAGACCTCGTGTGTTTATTAGTGGGTTATTTTAGCAACGCACTCGCCAAGAAATCGAATATACTGCAAGAGTCTTCAATATCTTTTTTCTATATGTCTTTAACTTCTACTGCTAACAGCTAGCTCCTTCTAATCACTAATAACATCTACTAAAAAGCGAATAGCTGTCTCGATGGGACTCAAAACGCAGGGTCACCGCCTCTAACATCCCCCAAACACGTCCACCTGTGTGAATCACACTTCAGGCAAGGCCAAGACAAGATTGTTGAAAGTGAAAAGTAAATTGGCGAGCTAAGCAACTTACATAAGGAAGATATTAAAGAATAACCCATAAAACTCTTAAAAACAAAAGAATCGTTTCTTTGCTAATTCGTACTGCATCATAAAAGGCCTTCTTGCCGCAGAAAATGAGGCTTAAATTTGCTTTTTTCAGATTGAAAAGCAGTTCTCTGGAACGTTATCTGTGTCCGCCATTTACTTTCTTATGATGAGGCCCAGCCCAGAAAAAAATAACTGACCGATAAATCTCCACATGTCTGACTGTTTCTCTTTTTACTTTGCGCAGGCTCTTGACAACGACTTTGGCGTTTATGGCTCCATAAAGTACTCTATTGTGTATGAACAGGATCCTGGAATTTTTTCCCTTTCCCCGCTCACTGGTGAGGTCACGCTGACCAATCCTTCATCCCTAGTCGCTGGGAAAGAACAGTACGTTCTGGCAATTTCGGCCGCAGACAACCTGGCAATAGCTCCATATAATAGTGTCAAAGAAAATGCTTCTGTTCGTGTAAGTCTTTAACAGTAAGAATGTGATAGTTCCTTCCCTCTTTGACGTTTTAGTTAGTCAAAAACAATGCTGCTGGGTTTTACTGTCACGCAATCAAAAATCCAACTTAAAACCGTCAAATAGATTAAATCCAGAATCTGGAATATGAAAGAAGGTGAATATGCAAAGACCGTCGCAAACGTTCAGGCCAGTGCAGTTTTTCATTTGCGAGATATTCGGAGAAATGATTTACCCACATTATAGAAAATTGTAAAGACACGCCATGTTGGTTACCATGCACAGAAAAGATCTGTCACTGAGTTTTGCTAAGATATCTACGAAAACTAGATCCCTAAAGGTAGGTTGGCCGTAATATCGCTGGACGTAAGAGTCCAGTGGATGCAAGATCAATTCATGTAAAAGCCCCTGGATGTAAAACCCCTTAACGTCAAACTCCAGGATGTTAGACCACTGGACGTAAGACCCCTGGATGTAGTACCCCTGGATATAAAAGCCCTTGATGTAAAAGCCCTGGACGTAACACCCCTGGCCCCAGTTCTTCGAAGGCCGATTAGCGCTCAACCCTGGGATAAATTTAACCTGGGTTTCTTTTTCGTGTGTTCAAAAGCATTTTCTCGGATAATTTTCTGTCTTATTTTTCAGAGCTTCCATTCATCAACTTGTAGACAAAAAGAATTAAAACTGAAATGCTTTTTAAGCTTTAAAATCTTAATTCAAATCTCACACTAACCCTGGGTTATCTTAACCCAGCTTTGAACAACCCGCCCCTGGTCGTAAGACCACTGGACGTAAGACCCCTCGATATAAGACCCGATATAAGACCCTTGGACTTAAAACCACTGAATGTAAGAACCCTGGATTTAAGACCCCTGGTCGTAGTTCTTTTCAATAACATCCATTTATTATCTGTAAAATTGTTATGGTAACGACTGAATCGATCAGTGCCAGGCATTATCACATCATAAGAAAGGCACATTTAAGGAAAACAAAAATTATAATAATAATTATTATCTGCAATCTTTATTCCTTTTTATTTATGTATCATATATGAAAACAACAAGTGCTTCATAAGAAACATCCTGTTTATGTTACAACAAAAGACATGTACATCAAAATCACAGCAAAAATCAGTTAACTTTTGACAAATTCTAAGTCTGTTTGCAGATTTAATAATACTCAAAACAAACAAAACTGTAACGAACACAAACGAACTAGAGAGTTAAGCAAGATACAATTACGCTGTGTACTGTCTTAAGTCTAAATGCTCTACTTGTAGCTTGGTTCAGAAAAGGAAGGTTTTCGAAAACGCACCAGCGATCATAAACAATAAACCATAAATATATGAAAGTCACGGCCTACTCTTGAAGGTTACCTACAAACAAAAGGACATTAGTTGAACTTCACACCATCAAAGAATCCAGGGTTTGAAACATCCGAGGGTTGTAAAGTCCTACATCTACGGGTATTTTATCCAGGGTTTGAAAAGTCTCGCATCCAGGGGAGAGTTGTAAAGTTGTAATATTCAGCGGTCTTACATGAAGGGTCGTTACATCCAAAGGTTGTAAATCCTTACATCTTGTGGTTGCCAAGTCTTACAACCGGAGGATGTAAAAATTGGCTCTTTAAGAGAGGTTATTTATATAAGGGGGTTATTCTTCTATCCTTGGCTCATTTTTATGTACGGGGGTTTGCCCAGCTGTTGATAATGATCCCAGAGGTCTTAAGACAAGAGGTCTTACTACCGGGGGTGCTACAACCAAAAATCTTACAACCAGGAGTCTTTCCACCAGAAGTTTTACCACAGGGGGTCTTACAACCAGTGTCTTAGGACCAGGGGGTCTTACATCCATGGATCTTACGACCAGGTGACTTACGACAAGGGATCTTACATCCAGAGGTTTCTTACGACCAGGGCTCTTACATCCAGGGGTTTTTTCACCAGTCGTCTTACCACCAGGGGTCTTACGATTAGGGGTCTTACAACCGGCGGTCTTTCCACGAGTCTTCTTACCACCAGGGCTCTTACGTCCAGTAGATTTACATCCAGGGTTCTTGCCTCTAGGCGTCTTGAGACCCAGATCTTATCACCAGTTGTCTTACAACCAGGGGTTTTAAAACCAATGGTCTTACGTTCTTACGACAAGGGGTTTTACATCCAGGGGTCTTAAAACCAGGGGTCTTTCTACCAGTCGTCTTACCATCACGGCTTTTACGACCAGTGGTCTTATATCCAGGGGTCTTACCTCCAGGGTCTTACAACCGGTGTCTTACATCCAGCGGTCTTACAACCAGGTGTCTCTCCACCAGTCTCCTTACCACCAAGGCTCTTACGACCAGTGTACTTACATCCAGGGATCTTACCTCCACAGGTCTTATAACTGGATCGTACATCCAGTCGCGTTACCACCAGAGGTCTTACGTTCAGGGGTCTTACGACCAGGGGTTTTACATCCAAGGGTCTTACAACCAGGGATCTTACGACCCGGGGTCTTACAACCAGGGTTCTTACATCCAGACCACGCCTTACACCTAAGACCACGCGTGTTACATCCATGAGTTTTACAACCAGGGTTTTTGTCGATAAGGAGTTTTACGACAAGGGATATTACAACCAAGGATCTGATGACCAGGGGTCTTACCACCAGGCGTGTTACATGCAGGAGTCTTACGACCAGGAGTGTTACATCCAGGGGTCTTACAACCCTTTGGTCTTTCCACCAGTCGTCTTGCCACCAGGGGTCTTACTACCAGGGGTCTTTCAACCAAAGATCTTACAACCAGGGGTCCTACGACCATGGGTCTTACATGCATAGGTCATACCACAAGGGGTCTTACAACCAATGCTCTTACAACCAGGGATCTTTTGACCTGGGGCCCAGGATGCAAAATCTTTGGTCGTAAAATTCCTAGATGTAAGACCCTTGTTAGTAAGACCACTGGACATAAGACGCCTGGACGTAAGACCTCCGGACCTAATACCCCTGAATGTAACCAAGACTCCTGGATGTAATACCTTCGGTTGTAAGATCCCTGGTTGTTGGACCCCTGGTCATAGGACCATTGGACGTAAAACCTCTGGATGTAAGGCCGATGAATGTAACACACCCGGATGTAAGACTCCTGGTTGTGAGACCACTTGAATTAAGACATCTCGGTGTAAGACCGTTGGATTTAAGATCCCTGAACGTAATACACCTGGATATAAGATCCCTCAGGTGGATGTAAGACTCCTGGACGTAGGACCACTCGATATAAGACCCCTAGTAGAAAGACATCTGGATGTTAAACCCCTGGATGAAAGACAGCGGAATGTAAGACCACTGGACGTAAGACCGCTAGACTAAGACCCCTGGATACGACCTCGTAAGATTACTGGACTTAAGACCCCTGGATAAAATACCCGTGTTCGTAATACCTCTTGATGTAATACCCCTGGACATAAGCCACTGGTCGTAAGACCCCTGGAAAGAAGATCCCTTGAGGTAAGACACCTGGACGTAAGACCCCAGATGCTACGAAAGCCTGAAGTAATCACTTTTCAGATAACAAAATCCCCGCTAATAGCTCTCCCGGTTTCCATGAAAATGTCGTGTCACGCAAAAGCTTAGAAATTCCAGCATACTGTACAACAAGACGAGGTGCCCTTTCGAAGTGAAAACTTGTCTAAAAATTTGTCCGCCTTTAGCCGCCCTAATACTTCGTGAAATTAAAACTGAGGAGGATCGATAATTCTTTTGTTTTAAATTTTGATAACTTCGTCTGAAGACCAGCAATAAAGACCAGTCTCAAACATTGTTCAAGACCGGCATCCCCTTCTCTAGCCTAGCTGTCGTCATGACCAGTACAAAGAGTGATTGATCGAATCTTAATATTTGGGAAATTTTACCGGATTTTCAGATTTTCGTTCTCACCAATTCCAAAGAACTATCTCTTGAGATAGGAATTCATCCTGAATTCGCCAAGGAGAAAACTGACGAAATGAAAAGGTATGTTTTGATTGATTTAGGATTGTCATTATTTATTCCTTCTCGTCACGTATATTTATCCAAGATGAAGGTTTTATTTTGAAATGATAACAACACCTTTCTGAAAAGTCCCTGGAATGCATGAGCTTAGTCGTTGAAAGTATTCATTTGAGCCCGTTTTTGCCAGATTATTTAAAAACCTCGCTCAAGGAATCTCAATCAACCCTCGTAAATCCTTCTTGTATGGCAGCTCAGCAATAGATTTATACTGTGAATCGTAATGACCAACTCGGCACTGAAGGAACGAGAAGGGAACTGGGTCGAGTTAACCTTCTCAAAGTCTTCTGGGGCTGTTACTTGGGACAGGGGAAAAACTGACCAATAGCAGACCGGCGCAGCCCCAATAACGATCCCAGAAACACTTGCGGGACACATTTCTGCTCCATTTCCCGTTTCGTTTCTAAGCTTGCGGATGGCACAGGTACTTAATTTGAGTTTGATCTTTTCTTTTTTTTTTGAAGTATGCTGCAGAATCTTACTGGAGCGAAAGTGATAATTAATGACATTCTAGAGACTGGTGGCGGAAAGTAAGTATTCGGCTTTGCTTGTTATTTTTTTTGTTTACTCTCACGATGTATCTTTACATATGACGATTTTTTTAGTTTAGAAATTGCTGAAAATTGTGTTGATAACTCACTGTCACTTTGCTTTTGCAGTGAAACTCTTTTTTCTCTAAATTACTTTTCAGATCGATCGTCTATTTTCATGTTATCGACGACTCTTCGTTGTATGTCTTAGACCAAAGCGATTTTATAAGGTAAATGAAAAAAATGGTTTTTTTTTATTATAAAGAAAGCTTTCATACGTGATAATTAAGAATTTTACTTTCTTAGTTCGTACCGACAGGTTGCGTCAAATGACATTTCCGTGAATATATCTGACATGTTTGTCAGAAACATGATTGTGGTTTCGAATTAAAACAAACTTTCAGACGTTCTGTTTTTGCCGTCTAGTCCAAACTCGTGACCAGTAGCTTTCTCCTGGCTTTTCCCTCATTCTTAACCACCACATACTCATCAGTACTCTAGTGGATGTCAGTAGCCTCGTCGAGGTATCGGGAGAAGGTTGATCTCAAACCCCCTTGTCGTTTGCTTTACTAGTTTGTTATTTCCAACATCTACGTACATTCTTCAAGTATTTTCTTCTGCACTCGTATTTGTTTGTCTTCATACCTCTTTGTTAATTGCAGCCGCCTGCTTAACAACACAAACTTGATCAACGGTGTGTTTAAAAAGTGGAATATTCACATACCATCTGACGGGTCAGCGGAAATGTCCACAGGCACAAGGAAGGAGTTCAGTGCTGTGATCGCTGCCATGCTTGTTTTGTCGATCGGTATCGGAGTGGCGGGAATCATTGGTATTGTAATCGCATGCCGCAAGAAAAAACGGTATGCTAAACGTTTAACTAGATCTATGTAATCTTATTTTTTTCTTATCTCAGCACATTATTCGAACTTTATGATTCCCAGTCAGCTACCAAGCGGTAGCCAACAGTTACCGGTACTGTACAAACGACTTACTGATAAAATCAAGCAAAACTAACTACTAGAGAACGACTGGACAACTGAAAAATTGACTTACAACAGACGACTGTTTAATTGTGACAATAGACGGAGCGAAACGCACCAATTATATTACGAGTCTTCATAGCCAATAACGTCACGGCTTAGCTGACAGACGACCAATAACATCTCGACGTAATTGACCAATCAGGTCAATAACCAGAGTATAATACCATCAACTGGCGTGGTACAACTCACTTTGACTCTAAAGATGACTACCACACAGGTTGTCGAAACGTCAGTCATCGTCAACAACAGTCCTATTCAGGACTACGTTCACCCGAACGATCAAACTCAACCTACTTTTGGAATGACTCATGGGTTCAAAACTTTCACAGCGGTATGCAGTAAGTAACGTAGCTGCGTAGACGTGCGCCAAATCGTTTCTTTGTTGTCTGCTGCAAAGGAGATGTTTTGGTGAGCAGGGGCAAAAGGTTGTTTTGACCGCTTTAGGGAGTGCAAATCGCCCCATCTGAGGCTTCCTCACGCTTCTTTAAACTTTGTTTGTCAATTTGCCACATGGCACAAACAGGGGGCCATAAGTCATTAAAACTATGCCCATGACAATACGCAACCGAACCTGTAAGAGCTCTTTGAGACGTTTCTTTCCTCATCCAATTTGCAGCGAAAAGACAATCTACAAGACCACTGACACAAGACAGTTGTCATTCCCACTTGCAACAGCTTGGCAGTAAGTACACAGATTGCTATAACGTGCTTCTTTCCTTTATCTGCAAATCTGTGATATCCGTTTATAGTCAAATCACCGTAAATTAAATATTCCTTTTGTTGGGGTATAGAATTTAACGTGGTTCTTTCTTCGCGTTCAACAAGGCGGTAAGTTAGCAGTGGTGAGTTAACTCGTGTGAGTTTCAAGATCTTGAATTTTCCAAATCTTGCCGGAAGGAATTTGAACATTCCAAATCTTGCCGGCAAGATCTTGAATTTTACACATCTTGTCGACAAGATTTTGAATTTTCTAAATCTTGCCTGCAAGATCCTGATTATTCCAGTTTTGCCAGCACGATTTTCCTGGCAAGATCTTGAATATTACAAATTTTGCCAGTAAGATCATGAATTTTCAACATCTTACCAGCAAGATTTTAAATTTCCAAATTTACCGGCAACATCTTGAATTTTCCAAATCTTACCGGCAAGATTTTGAATTTTCCAATCTTGCCGGACACGAGTAAAACTGGTAATTTTCAAGATATTTATCGCTATGGAAAAATTTCGTAGAAATTGTACAAGAGCTGAGGAGACCTGCTTCGTCTAGCACAAATTTTGTCTACCAAACAGCTAGACTTGAATCAACACCAACCGTTTAACCGCTTAAAATGGATCAAGACTTTTCAGAGCTACGTATCTCTTAAATAATTTGTTTCCAACTGTGTTTCTATCGTAAGTTTCTTGTCTTTCCAGCGAAAAATCTATCTCATAATCTTGCAGGCACAAATAAAAAAGACTTCAAATATGATAAAGAAAAGTTTTGCGAAAAATCCGTTATTATTTCAAACGCAAGTGCTAAGAAGGCTTTTAAGTTTCCTTTACTTATACTATTTCTAGAAGAAAAGACTTCGAAGCACTAAATTTTAACCAAGATAATAAAATTGCTCTTGTGACAATGCCAAATGCTGGAAATGCTTTTTATTAAAACACGTCGAGTCCATCAAAAAATTAAAATTCATTCTTGGCTGCGAGGCTAAGAGGAATAAACCAAAAGAAATGTAAGACCCCTGGATGTAAGAACCCCTGGTTGGAAAACCCCTGGATGTAAGAAACCTGGCTGTAAGAACCCCTAGTTGTAAGACCCCTGGATGTAAGAAACCCTGAATGTAAGACCCCTGGTTGTACGACCACTGGTTGGAAGAATCCCTGGTTGTAAGAGCTCTGGTTGTAAGACCCCTGGATGTAAGAACCCCTGGTTGTAAGACCCCTGGATGTAAGAACCCCTGAATGTAAGACCCCTGGTTGAACAACCACCGGTTGGAAGAATCTCTGGTTGTAAGCGCTCTGGTTGTAGGACCCCTGGTTGTAAGAACGACTTGTTGTAAGACCCATCGTTGTGAGAACCCCTGGATCTAAGTCCCCTGGTTGTACGACCACTAGTTGAAAGAATCCCTGGATGTAAGACTCCTGGATGTAAGAATCCCTGATATTGTAAAACCCCTGTTTGTAAGACCCCTGGTTCTAAGAACCCCTGGATGTAAGACCCCTGGTTGTAAGAATCCCTGGTTCTAATACCCCTTCTTGTACGACACCTGATTGGAAGAACCACTGGTTGTCAGACCCCTGGTTTTAACAACCCTGGTTGTAACAACCCCTGGATGTGAGATCCCCTAGATTGTACGACCACTGCTTGTCAGAGTCCCTAGTTATAAGATTCCTGGTTTTAAGAACCCCTGCTTGTAACAACCCATGGTTGTAAGACCACTGGTCGTAAGAACCCTCGGTCGTTAAGAACCCCTCGTTGTAATAACCCCTGGTTGTAAGACCCCTGGTTGTAAAAACCCCTGGTTGTAAGACCACTGGTTGTAAGAACCCCTGGTTCTAAGACCCCTGGTTGTAAAAACCCCTGGTGGTAAGACCCCTGGTTGTAAGAACCCCTGGTTGTAAAAACCCCTGGTTGTAAGACCCCTGGTTGTAAAAACCCCTGGTTGTAAGACCCCTGGTTCTAAGAACCACTGGTTGTAAGAATACCGGGTTGTAAGAACCCCTGGTTGTAAAAACCTCCGGTTGTAAGACACCTGGTTGTAACAACCCCTGATTGTAAGAACCCCTGGTTGTAAAAACCCCTGGTTGTAAGACCCCTGGTTGTAAGAACCCCTGGTTGTAAAAACCCCTGGTTGTAGAACCCCTGGTTGTAAGAACCCCGGGTTGTAAGACCCCTGGTTGTAAGAACCCCTAATTGTAAAACCCCTGCTTGTAAGACCCCTGCTTGTAAGAACCCCTGGTTGTAAGATCCCTTCTTGTAAAAACCCCTGGTTTTAAGACACCTGGTTGTAAGAACCCCTGATTGTAAGAACCCCTGGTTGTAAGACCCCTGGTTGTAAGAACCCCTGGTTGTAACAACAACAACAACATAAGCTTTATTTGCATGACTATAATTATGTAGTTACAGTATTGCAAAAGCTTCAACATAAAAAACAAACAAACAAACAAATCATAACAATGATAATACAATACAATAATTACTATAGTCAATCAAGTGTCGTCAGCATGATTTGATAACAAATTATTACGCAAATCATTACATAATGAGACAAATTTCAACAAATGTGAATTTACAGAAAAATTCTGTGAATTCATCAATTTAATTATTAATTCTGTGTAAGATAGCTGATTAAAGTCGACAACATTTTCTTGGATTTGATTGTAGAATTTCTCCCTTGGGATTGAGTATTTTGGACAATGGAAGAGAAAATGAAATTCGTCTTCAATTTTACCAGAGTTACAAATAGCGCAGAATCTATCGTTGCGGGAAGTTTGATTATATCTTCCAGTTTCACTCATGAGTTTGTGGTTACTTATACGAGGGTTGTAAGAACACCTGGTTGTACGACCCCTGCTTGTAAGAACCCCTGGTTGTAAAATCCCCTGGTTGTAAGACCCCTGGTTGTAAGACCCCTGGTTGTAAAAACCCCTGGTTGTAAGACCCCTGATTTTAAAAACCCCTTGTTGTAAGATCCCCTTTCGTAAGAACCCCCGGTTATAAGAACCTCTGGTTGAAGGAACCCATGGTTGTAAAAACCCCTGCTTGTAAAACCCCTGGTTGTAAGAACCCCCGGTTATAAGAACCTCTGGTTGAAGGAACCCATGGTTGTAAAAACCCCTGCTTGTAAAACCCCTGGTTGTAAGAACCCCTGGTTGTAAGAACCCCAGGTTGTAAGACTCCTGGTTGTAAAAACCCCTGGTGGTAAGACCCCTCGTTGTAAGAGCCCCTGGTTGTAAGAACCCCTGGTTGTGAAAACCCCTGGCTGTAAGACCCCTGCTTGTAAGACCCCTGGTTCTAAGAACCACTGGTTGTAAGAATACCGGGTTGTAAGAACCCCTGGTTGTAAAAACCCCTGGTTGTAAGACCCCTGGTTCTAAAAACCCCTTGTTGTCAGACCACTGGTTGTAAAAACCCCTGGTTGAAAGAACCCTTGGTTGTAAGACCAATGGTTGTAAGAACCCCTGGTTGTAAGAACCCCTGGTTGTAAGACCCCTGGTTGTAAGACCCCAGGTTGTACGAGCCCCTGGTTGTAAGAACCCCTGGTTGTGGGAACCCCTGGTTGTAAGACCCCTGGTTGTAAGAAGCTCTTGTTGTAAGACCCCTGGTCGTAAGAACCTTTGCTTGTTAAGAACCCCTTGTTTTAAGAACCCTGCTTGTAAGAACCTCTGATTGTAAGATCCCTTGTTGTAAGAATCCCTGGTTGTAAGACCTCTGGTTGTAAGAACCCCTGGTTGTAAGAGCCCTTGGTTGTAAGAACTCCTGGTTGTTAAGAACCCCTGGTTGTAAGAACCCCTGGTTGTGAGAACCCCTGGTTGTAAGAACTCGTGGTTGTAACAATCTTAGGTTGTAAGACCTCTGGTACTAGGAACCCCTTGTTTTAAAAACCCCTGGTTGTAAGACCCCTGGTCGTAAGGACCCTCGGTTGTGAAGAACCCTGGTTGTAAGAAGCCCTGGTTGTAAGAAACCCCTTGTTGTAAGAACTCCTGGTTGTAAGAATCTTAGGTTGTAAGACCCCTGGTTGTAAGAACCCTTGGTTGTAAGACCCCTTGTGTAAGAACCCCTGGTTGCAAGATCTTTGTTTTTAAGACCCCTGCCTGTAAGAACCCATACTTGTAAGACCCTTGTTTTTAAGAACCCTTGGTTGTTAGACCCCTGGATGTAAGAATCTCTGTTTGTAGAAACCCGTTGTTGTAAGACCCCCCCTACTCTTAAACCACGCGGCATTTTTTTCTCTTGTATCAATAAATCATCTCAAAGATAAACGGACTAGGTCTAAAATAAACAGGAACGTTCTTTGGAAAATTAAAAAAACCAGGGCCGGTTTCATCCACATCCGAGGGTTAATTCATGTATATGATACCATGAAGAGAAATCGTCTTTGGGGGCGGGAGTCACATAGCAAAGTTTTGAGGTGTGTACAAGCAGCAAAAGCTGTATTGTTGTATCTTGATATAAAAGGGAAACAGGATTGAAAAAGCGACGTATTAATGAGGCAACGAGGTATTTTCCTAACAGGGTACCATTTTGGGCTTCTATTTAGAACGGATATTACCCTCAAGGCTATTAAACCACGTGTCATCATTATATCATGTCTAAATATTCAGATGTCACTCAACTGTAAAGAAGATATTAAAAAGAGGATACCAATACGTACCCGTATCCCTTGTTATATGTAAGCGTGAAGATTTCAGTGAGTGCTAAAACGTCTTTTTTGCCCTTGGCAATCTCCACACTGGCTCTCATCTAGATCAGAATTTGGCATAAAGACATGATCTCCCGTAAGAATGAAAATAACGTTACTAGCATGCAATGCAAAATGTGTATCATGCCCAGTATTTATTTATTTGGTTGCCATTTCGTTATAAAAAGTTCAACTTTTATGCTTGTATTTAATAAATTTGCAAGACTGCATGTCTTTCTCTCGACTGCAAAACGATTCCGCTACATTTCGCTGGGGCTTCAAAATGTGTGACTACTTCTTCGTGGTTTGGATGTCAATTTGGTTATTCAGCTTTCCTGTAAGTATTGCAACATTATGTACAGAAGAATCGAGTGTTACTCACCCCTAGCACCATGTAGTAGTGCCTAGGCATAGGTACTTTTTTATTACTCTTTATTAAATTTCGGACACACAAACAATTACAATACATTAGATTTACCACTCATTACAATAAATTCTAATTATCAATTACTAAATTTTACCTTACATTGAAACAGGTACAGAAGGGAAAAAAGTGAAATAAAAAGAAAAAGAAAGACAAAGTGCACAAAAATACTGTAGTTTATATATTAGCAGTTGAGAGAAGGCTGCCTGCGTTATGGTCCTCCGTCTCCCATCTGCCTGTTTGTCACTTGCTCTTTAATTAACGGTATAAATAAAATTGTTTTCTGAGGGGTATTGGTTGAAACTAGCCCATTTCTTCCCAAGGGAGGCTAAGTTATTATTATCAAAGGCAATCTGTTCCTCAATTTCCATGGAGTGTATGACTAACTGAGTGTACACTCGTACCATAGGAATGGTATCTCGTAGTTTGCAACTATATATATGGTGTCTAGCAATACGGAGGAAGTGATGTACGGGAAGATTGGATATGTTGTCAATTAAGCCGAGGCAAAGAGCTGGCGAAAAGGGGGTAATGTTCAAGTTAGTCAAATCAAGATTTTCGAAGGTTCACTGCGAAACATTTTTCCAAAAAGTCTGAGTTAATCTACACTGCCAAAAAAGATGTGTAAGTGTCCCTGGGGAACCAGCGCAAAAAGAACAGGAGTCTGTTTCCTTTTAGGCATAGGTACGTTTACCGTTGTTCATGTCGACGAGGTAAGAAAAAACAAAGTTATACCCGCCTGGATTCACAAATTGCCAACGTTTACGGCAAATGAGAAAATGGCAAGATTTGGAAACTCTACATCTTGCCAGCAAGATTTGAAAAATTCTAAATCTTGTCGGCAAGATTTTTAAAAAATTCAAAAACGTGCCGGCAAGATTTGGAAAATTTAAGATCTTACCGGCAACATTTGGACAATTCAAAATCCTTCTTGCAAGACTCGGAAAATTCAAGATCTTGAATTTTCAATATTTGGTAACTCACCACTCGCTAACTGGCCCCAGTAACTCACGACGGATGACTCACCAACTTGCCGGGGTCAATTTCTTCTGGTTATTATGTTTTGTTGTTTAGCTCCGGGGATATTCCTGGCATCGAAGCATTTATTGACGCTAAGGCTGAAGAAACTCCCCGATCTTTGTAAGTCAATAATTTTACCTCTTTCTTGGTTAACTCACTCTCCAGCAATGAAGTTATATCGCAGCGAGGTTGGCGTTTAGCTTGTCCGTTTCTTTAGCAAGAAGAAATTTATGTAAGGAATTATCTGAACATTGCTGGTCTCACTTGATATGATTTTTTCGTGAACGTTAACTGAAATAGCTGCGCCATACACCTCGTATACAATTAAGGTTAATGGTCAGTAGACACTAACGGTGTATTATGCGGCGAGAAACGTGATAGAAAGGTAGTGATACTGATTGAAAAATGGGTGGGCGACGAATTTACAATCGAGCGCAAAATCTACATATTTTTCTCTTGTTCACTCTTCATTGCTGTCACAGGCGAGCGCCGAACAAGTATACCGTTCAGAGGGAACAAGCTGTACCTGGGTGTTCGGTATGTTATACTGCTTCATCTGATTTATACTCATCTGTATTAATTTTGTAAACGAAAAATGAGCAGCAAGACAGACTCAAGGGATGATTAGGGATTTTAAGGTGTCACTACGGGGAAGGCAACGAGAACCTCAAAAACGTAATACGTTTAAATAGGAAAACAACTTTTCAAGTGCATCACTCTTGTTTGGGTACATTCCTTTGCTGTAACAATACGACGACGAGCTAAAATTGCCTAAATTCAAGTGTTTTGGAGAACATTAAACAAAAGGCGACCAATTTCTCTTTCTCTCTCTGAACTTGGATATGATCGATCCTTAGGAATTCAACTTCAGTAGAGATTGCCTACAATATACAAAGTGAGCAAGTTGAAATAATCGCTCTAAACGCGGCGTGTGGTTTTCTGTTAATTTCGATATAGGACTCTACTACTACTGAAAGTATATTTTTGACTAGGTTTCGCGTCCATCCCTTGATCTCCCTTCCCAACCCCCACTCCCAGCAAATTTGTGCCACAAAAAAATCTCATTTTCCTCGAAATTCAACATTGTTTGGGGTGGAAGGCGGGAGGTAGCCAGTTTTACCATCATGTAAGTGTTCCAGCACTTTCAAAGTCCATTCATTAGTCATATCCTGATAATCTTGCTGTCTTGTTCCTTTGCCACCTGATACGTTGCAGGCAGGGCTCAACATACCCACCAACAATGTCCGGCCAGAATGGCGTCTTGACCGGCCAAAAGCTCCACTCGCCGGTCATGTTCACAGGTCACCCAAACTCTTCTTGAACAAACAGCCAAATCCCTTAGATTTTGTCTCTTTGTGTAAATACAATCAAATACAATCACGTTAATAGACATCTACGCAAGGATTGGCTCACTTTTCTCCACTTTTTGGACCGGTCCAGAAACGTGACTTGACCGAGCAAAAATTTCTTTGGCCGGTCATCGTGTCCAGCCACAATCCGAAAAATTCTTTTTTGAGCCCTGCGTTGTTACGTTGATACGTTGGCTGCCTGGTAGTCACAGGCAGGACTTCACATTACACTTGAGAAAGCTTGACTCATGTTTTTCCTGGTTTTTGTAACTTCTGATCACTTAGCAATTTTAATTAATTCTCTATATCTTTGTTTCAGAGTCAGTCATTGCTTCGCACGCCACTGTAAGTGTATTTCTTTTTACAAAAACCTTTGACGCAATCGGTTGAACAAGTCAGTTTGTGACATCTCGTGTGGTACAACTGTATGCATTAACGTGCCATTTTTTCCATGCTTGTAACAGGCGATCGAGTAAAACGTACAAAATGGAAGCGGATCTGAAGAACGACGAAGAGGTATAATTATGACTCAAGCATACCTTGCTATGACTCCCCTTTTGTTAGGGCTTGCGCCCCACTAGGTAAATCCACCTAAACTGAAAGCAACGTAAAGTCGATATCTTCCGGTGTCTCAGATGGTAATCTGCCTAGAGAATTCCAACGCCTTGGAAGCTCAAGATAGCTCCGTTGACACATCCGCATGGATGAACAACGCTGCCTGGAGCTTCTTGGATAAAGCTTGCTATTTCGTGAAGAACTGATAATGGTGGCATTAAACGTTTATAAAGAGGAGAAAGGGCATCATTGATGCAGATGGGCAACAATATGGAGATTATTGCTGCCGAGCGTTAGCAAGACGGTATACTGTATATGAGGAAAAGTCCGAATTTTTTTGGAATGTCAGATAGCAGGCATGCACACTTTGTTATCGTCATCTAGGAAGGTCTTACATAAAGTAGTACTCGCGCACAGCTAGCGATCAAATAGTCTAGGTTTCTGATGAGGGATCAGTTTCGCTTGGTTATAAATATTTCGGCTCAAGAATTTTTCCTTTTCCTCAACTGTCAGAGAGTGTAATAACTGAAAGACTTATATTGTACGCCGATAATGTGCAAGCAGTGCATTTACAGTCAATTGTTTTGCCTCATGGGTCGTAGCACGTCTTAATTTGAAGAGTGAATGATTGCATCAGTCGATACGACTACTATTTTAGCGGAATCCCCTCTTTGCGCTCCTTTTTACTTAAATATCATTGCAGCCTCATAAATTCTCTTTCGAGGGTCAGGTGTAGTTTTACAATTACCTGTAGCATTTTACGGTTTCACGCGAGCATTCTTTCAGTCACATCAAAACTCCTAGTTTAGTTTCCATTTATTTTTATTCTACAGAAGGGGCAGGCAGTGGCTTTGAATCATTACGGATCGTCACCAAGCCTGCCACGTCCAGATCACGAAGAATCCAGTGAGGTTAAAATTTCGGTAAGCAGCGAGTAAATTGAATGTGATGGTTGAGAAAACGTGCAAAGATTATCGTACTGTTTCTTAACAAAACCCACGATTATCTAGCCTTCAAAGTAGTGATGCTAAAGTGATTTTAGCCTTGATGTTTTTTAGCGGAGCTCTGGCGCGCGAAGCGCGCCTGCGGAGCACCATGGGTAAGTAAATCTACCCATCCCAGAAAATTTGGTAATCACGTGACCGTACACCGCCCGCCCGCCCGCCCGTCCGTCCGCACCACAGGGAAACCAGTGTTTAATCCTCACACTTTCTAGCCAGTTTGGAAGCACAGGAAGACTGATATTGCACACATATATTGCACATCAATGTTGTGATCAATTGACAGCTGTCAAAACAGGGTATCCGCTGACCAGGATCACCTGACCGTATCGCGGGCTCAGGTGTCGACCCATCGAGGTCGATATCTTTTTGAAGTTATCCGCTGACAAGTAACTTGTTTTCAAATGATCGCAGGCTCAAGTTTATTTTTTTAAATTCATATGAAATATGTTGTGTTTTGTATGTGCCGCACAATTAAAATGATTTCAAACTGACCTAGGAAGCTAAAATTCAGCCAGTTTTTACAGGCAGGGAAGACATGCCAGTTGCTTTTGACTTTCCTCACCAAGGTCACGCGTTGGTCACGCTCCACGTCCAATTTTTATGCTCTGATTGGTCAAAATTTGACAGGTGAGTTCATGCGGAAAATTTATGCAGCATCTTGAAACTTGTTTACTTTGCTGAAGCTGACAGAGTTTTGTGTCAACTTGTGATGTTTTAACTGTCTTTTTTCACTGAATGTACAAAATGTAATTCAGCTTCTATCAAGAGTCTTCTGTTATTCATGGCTAGTTTGTTTACTGGTCGTTTGGTTGAGAAATACATCGCTTGTCAACGTCGGAAATCCGATTTCGGATGGCGTCGTTTTCGTTTTTCACCTTGCTGGATGCGTAAGAGGGTTGAAAAGTCTGAAGCGATTCTAGCCTTACTTGATAGTTTTCAGTGCATCTCGAATGGTAAGCCCGAGTAATTATTGTATTTGACGTTTGTTTTTTATATCTAATTTAATGAAGTCGAGCGTAGTTTATGCGGCTATTTAGTTTATTCACGTTTTTAATTGTAAGATTTGAGACAATGATCTGACCGAGTATCAGGTTTGATTGTAAGCTTATAGAACTTTAAAAAGCCTTTAGACATTTTCTCACCGCAAATAGAAAGAAAACGTTCCAAACAATATTTAGTTATAATTCTGGCTGTAAAAGAAAGCTTTGAGCGATTTTCTTGCCTCGAGTTCATCTTTGAAAAAGCAAACACCGGGAAGCCGGCTTACAAAATGAAAAACATAAACAAGGATTTTCAGAGACACTTTAATACTTGTCTTCGTAAATGAAAATTGTTGTCACTGTATATGTTTCAGGGAATTATTTTCCTTTTATTGATTGTTAGTATTCTCTTTTGCAATTTTTATCGCTGTGCCGTTTGTTTTCAGTCGCTCATGAACATCGCTTGCATGCAGGAGTAGTCAAAATGCCGCGCGTATCAAACGCTTTTGACGATTAAACATCGTTATAAAACCATTAAATAAAAAATAAACATAATAAATTCTTTATTATGTTGAAGCGTATAACTCTATTAATTATAATTTAAACAGTCGACTTTGGCGCTTGTCAAAAGTGAGAACCGGCTAGCCGTATAGGTGATTTTGGAAATTTTTTAACGGTTTCGCTAAAAAGCCCACTCGTGCTTCGATCGTCCTGAATATTGAGTGAGTGCAATTTGTATTGCAAAATTGTGAAATACTGCATTCTGTCCGAGGTCTGTATGATAAAAACAGCGCCTCATGGTACTGTTTCACCTCAGATGTGATGTATAAAAAGTATAAAAGGTTAGGTTATACGTCCCCAGACTTGTTGGCAAGATTTTGTAAAGTAAACTTGTCGAACGCAAAAAAATCGGCCTGATTTGTTTTCCAAGAATTGTTTTCCAGACCTAATCTACTGTGATCAAGAGCCCGCGCTCTTAAATGTGTGATCGAAGATGATTGTTATTTTTTGGGTGTACATATAAGGCTATCAACTCGATGTAAGATTAAGTTCACTCTTAGCTTGGACTGTTTGCAAATTACTTTTCTCTAAAATCACTTAACCCTTCCCTCAAAAGTCACATGAATGTGCTCTAAAGTTAACTGAATTGTGGGAAACAAGTTTATTGTTTGTTTTGAATTATAAATTCGAGTTAATATATAGGAGCTTCGCTTTTAGCCCTGGCTAAATCTATATATTATTATTTTAGTTTTTAAGAGATGGAATTCAGTGTTCAATAATCCGTCCTCAGCTGGATCAGCCTAGAGCTAACTGTCTGCGCCCAAAACTGATGGCAGAAATCATTTTGCTTCCATGTAAAGAGACCCCAGAAATTTTCGCACCATTGTACGTTTCTGGGAAACTGCCCACCTACCCCTCCCCTAAGCCAACAGTTTTCCCGAAGTGAGAAGTAAGTGTTAATGTTGGCTTAGTGGAGGGGTAGGTGGGCAGTTTCCCAGAAACGTATAACCGTACTTCCGGCCAAGGAACTAATAATCGAGCGTTCTTTTTTCAGACTCCTTCCTTGATGCGAACTCCATTGTTAGTAGTTTAATGTGAAATTCTCTTTTTGTCGGAGTTTTTGATTGTTTATCTCTGAAATAATGGATTTAACTTGCATTTTTTTCGTTTCAAACAGGAGATCAAGCAAAACTTACCAGGTGAATAAGGAACTAAAGAAGGATCCAGAGGTTAGTTAATCTTACTGTTGACATGATCGTAACCTTTACAGTGGCTGACACGAAGCCTAAAACATGCACTCGACAGTGATCATTTGTTATTGCAACAAGGGGTCGAGCCAACGACACTACTGCTATCATTCAGATATCCGCATATCCACCCCTTATGCAGCCGAGAGATGTGCTTCCTACATTAAGCGCGAAACAGCTATTTTAAACACGCTAAGCTGAAAACGTTTTAATCTAGCTTCCGTTGGTGAGATAAACAGTCGAGAAATTAGCCAACCAGCTTTGACGTTCGGCTCTTTAAGTCACGGGAACAAGCCAAGGCTCACAGAAGATCAAGAAACACACGATGAATCTTCGCATTCAAGGTTTTTTTTTCTTTCACATGTTGCACTAATTTTTTGCACTTGGCTTCAGTTATTGATTGAATTTTACCACTGACGTTTTTACTTTTTTCCTTCTTTCGCAGAAGCAGCGAACAGTCGCTATGAATCATTACGAATCGGCGGAGAATCCATCCAATGTCTTTAGGAAGTGTGAAGAGGTTTTCGAAACAGTGTACAGTGAGGTGGGTGATCCTACGATGACTGCAGGCGACGTTGAAAGTTATAACAACGTGGGATTTGAACCAGAAAATGGTACGGTTGAAGAGCAACGTGGCGAAAGAAGACCACTGGAAATTTCTGTCGAAGAGAAACCGGAGAAAGAATACGAGAACGCAGACAAGAGGGAGGGAAGTGGCAAGGATAGGAGGGTAAGGTTTGATTTGCGCGGCCTCAAGGAGAAGAAGCAACAGAAAAAGAGACAGCTACCTATGGGGCAAATTCCCGACATTATCGTTATCACTGAAGAGGGACGTCGAGGCGGTAATTCTAAAATGGAAAACAATGAGGAGAGAAGAGCAGTCGACAATGAGAGTGATGACGATAACCTCCCAGCGGATATAACGTCCGTTTTTAATGATACAAGTGCAATTGGAAAAGAAATAAGCAACCTTGCGGAGAATCCCGTCTCTGCGCATTCGTCTGTCATAAGCGATGAAGAAGGGACGGTAGTGGAAATTTGAAGTACCTTTTCAGAGAAAAAGGTTCATTGTAATGGAAGGACCATTTTTACAATGTATTTGTTGTCGCACCGTTCCTTGTTACATTTCTCTTTTCAGACTGGTATGTACTTTCAGTTGTTCCTTTTTGTTTTGGCATATGTGTACCGTTTTGTGATCTTCTTGCACCTTCAGAGCAGAGATTTAGGAATTAACCTAAATTCCGTGTTCGCAAAAACCATTTTACGCGGTCAAACTTATGAGAGTATTAGGCTCGGTTCTTATATATTTGTTAGTCGCTTTGTTGTAGTACTTAGTTTTTCGGCAAAAAAAGCACGTGCAGCTGTAGGCTGGCTTACATTTCACAGGATATCAAAAACTAATCTAAGCATTTTTACGGTATTTCGGTTTACCATGAGCAAAATACCGTCTATAGAGCATTTTCACATAACGTCACGGCGGCCATATTGGTGTTCCAAAACAATCAAACGGCGGCCATTTTAACCAGTCTTGTTGCATATGAACTCTTTTCTTATGAAAACGTTTTCTTTTGGTCAAATACATTTACCTCTTATTTTAGTTTTCCCTAGGGGTTTCAGTAGCACTAACTTCAGCCAGAAAAGTGGTTCGTTCTTGGATTATTGAAGAGATCGGTTATGATTGTGTCGTTTATTCTGCGAAGCCGGTCGCATGATAACATTTATTTATCTATTTGCCACCGAAAGGTATTTACCTTTAAACTTTATTCCGATTTAGTTACCTATTCTTTGAACAGTGTACGTCTTTTGGAAGAGTATTGACAAATGGTATTCTAATTCTCATACGTATTTCAGCTTGCTGGTCACAAAAGTGTGGGATCCTGTATGGCAAAAAAAAAGAAAAAGAAATAGGCCTCTGGGGGCAAATTGGTTAACGCAAATAAAAAACTATAGGCTATTGTGGAATAGAGACACCGCGGAAAGGAATTTCCAGGTTCTTTGTTAGCAAGCTTTGTTCGTCGCACATACTCATTTAAAACAACATGGTCATTTTCTTGGAAACTTTTTATTCTAGGAAATGTTGTTAAAAACACCCTACACGTATAAACGTCCCTATTTATACGATAACTACACGATACTTCTTGTCTATAATAAGTGCACTGTGAGAAATGCATTTTTTTTAGACATCTGTTTGTTCAGTTACCACAAGGGTGACACGTCTTCATTATTTACAATGCTTATGATTTTCCTCTCTGACTATCTTGGTCTTAAATACAAAATAATCACCGTATTATACACACGAGTTGTTTTTTCTATTATGTTTTCCTGCAAAGAAATCGTTGATGAGTTCCCTGTAGGAGATTCTGTCGGGAAAAATTCCTTTTTATTTCTCGTATTTTCTAATACAAATGTCACCTGTTTTCCTAGCGGCGGATTTCTTTGCCGCTGCATTCAACACATAGCTCTGTTACATAAGAATGTACACGAGTTTAACTTGGTCCCACAGACCCGCTAAAACTTAGCCCACAGGGCCTTCTCTGCGTCATTATATCGAACTGGAGAGAGCCCTACTTCATGCTCTAATATACTCTGTGTTAAAGGAACAGTTAAGCCAAAGGGGACCCAAATGACCGTCGGTAGTAATTCTTTCTGTAGAGTGAAGCAATTAGGAGTAATGTTACATCTCTATGGAAGGATTCTTGTTCCATTTCGGTGCCCATATTCCGTTTGTGCAAGCGAAAATGTGAGCAAAAGTTGTTGTTTCAATGAAACTAATCGTTTATATGGGCGACATACGAACATCAGCCTAATCGTCAGGGCCCAGTTGTTGAAAAGGTGAATAACGCCAACCACTGGATAAATCCCTATCCAACAGAAAACGCAATTAGTTTTCTTTATACTTATCCACTGGATAGTGTTTTATCCAGTGGATATTGCCATCCAACTTTTGAACAATTACGGCCAGAGCTGAGTCGTTCCATTAATTTAACACTAGTCTACCACGACTATACGAATAAATATATGAACCATATACTATTTTTCACCTTCAACGTGCACGTCAGAAAACTGCGAAATTCTTGGATTTTTTCGGCAAAAATGTTAAGCATTCTGCCCGTCGCTAGATCGAGCAGGAAGGTCGCCGCTCAACGTTGGTCAAAACTTCTATGCCGTTGTCGAATTATAGTCTCTGAGGCCTGAAACACAACTTCAGTTGATATATCGATAAAAATCAAAAATTTTCCTTGCGTGGTATTTGATTTATTGCCCTGAAACTCGAGAGATTCCTATTATCAATCCCTAATAAGTAACGTAATTGCGAGTCTAGCAGGATTGCTTTTCTCCCTCATAAGACCAACTCGCACCTTGCGAAAAAGGGTGAATATTTACAGAAATCTTAATTATGATTATGTCCTAATTATTAAAGCATCTGTTCACGCAACTGTCGCGTGGAACGGATGTTCCCACAGTTCATTCAAAAGTTTTTGTTTGGATTTTTCTCTACGTCTTCTAAGCAAATCCTCTAGACGAGTCCCTCTCTTTCGCCTTTTTCCCTGATCGAGCAATACATCAGTCGCATGAACCTCGTCAGGGATACATTCGTAACAGAGCTTCAGATATTTGAACGTGTTCTTGCACGTTGGATCGTCGAAAAACGTATTAGAAGCAACCACTTCGCATGCCTGGTTATGTCGGCATTGGCTTTCGACCTTCTTAAATGTATTTTCTGGGTCGGTCTCACATGGTTTGTCTGTAACGAGGCCTACAGGAGCTTCAGGGCAGAACTCGTTTTCTTCTCGTCCCCAGAAAGCGCGGTTTACTTTGATGGTTTCATACTGTTTGCATTGGAGCCACGTCTTCTCTCCTTCGCAAATATACGAGCAGTTCTGACAAAATTGTAAAAAAAAGAAACATTTCAACTGTAAGAAGCCAAATGTTCACTGAAAAGAAAGGTTAGACAATTTAAACTTCTGTAACATTATACAAGGGTAATTTATGCTTATACATGGTGTAAACGTCAACGAAAGATACAGTGTAGTACACTTTGACTCTTTAAATCCTCTTTCAACAATTCTTTTGACGAAATAAGCTACAGCTAACTCTCTTCTAACGGACACATTTCTAAAACTGAAACTTATAAACCTGGTCGATACAGTTCTTAAATTCTTTCTGTTTCCTCTTTAGAGAGAGTTACCTGTATACAAAGCTGAGACTGTTTACACATGGAAAATTAAAAAAAAAATTCTCGAAATGATTATCACCATCGAGCACAAGGATAAGTACTCAACTACTTACTGGCATTACAGCTTCCGGACCAGAAGGTCCTTCATCACCCAATGGTCCTGGAAGACCTGGTGCTCCAGGTTCACCAGCTAATCCCATGAGACCGGGTGCGCCTTGTTCTCCTTTAGCACCAGGCATACCAGGGAGTCCAGGGGGACCAATCGGACCGGATTCACCATCGGCACCAGGGGCTCCTACATCACCAAGAGGACCAGCAGGACCAGGAGCTCCTGTCATACCTCGCGCTCCACTTGGACCCGAGGGACCTTCAGGACCCGTTTTTCCGGGGCGTCCAGCTAGGCCGCCGTAAAATAGCGTAAGATTTTGCTCTAAGATTTGACTGATCATAAAGCGGTCCAACAGCTGTTGATCAACTGTGTCTCCTGGCTTGGGAAGGTCGTATTCAACCTAAAAACGTATATTTATTTGCCAATATAATTTCTTGATAATATTTTTGGAACACCTCTGCAGCCCTTCCCCGCTTTCTGCTCCCACCAAAAAAAAAACATAGGCTAACTGAAACTGAAAGGTAAGTGACTGACATCATAGCCAGTGCAGGGATGCTCTTTATTGAAACCTGTAGCACAACAAGGATACTCATAAGAATGGCTTTGGAAGATCAAGTTCGAATATAAACTGGAAATCGTTTCTCCATACTTACCAAGAGTAATTAGTACATTAAAGTTTTCCTTTAAAGGCTTACCTGCTCTTTTTCTTCACTGTCTTCAGAAGGATGATTGTCGTCAGCAAACTTGTCAGTGATCGGAATTCTGTGCCTACTTTTTCCCCCTTTGTGATGAGAAGTAGCGGATCCTCCGCTAAGAGAGGAACTGCTGCTTGACTCGCCATCTTTCTCCTTTTCGTTGTTACTTATCGCGTTGCCAAACAGGTCAACAATTGCTTCCGAAGGATTAGTTGCTGGTGTTAACTCCAGGGTGCCACTTCCTCCCGAACCCGAAAGGAAATCCGAGGCAGAGCCATAATCTATCCCAGTGCCGGACCCTAGGCCATAATTGCTACCAGATCCGACTTCCAAATTGAAGGGAATCCTTGCAAAATTGTCAGGAGTAGCACTAGCTTGTATTCCAGAATTTGAGGTAAAGCTAAAGGGATTTATTTTTCCAGTGTGTGAGCGTTGGCTCGATTCTTCTATACCGACATCACCAGATGAAAACGCACTTGATCCCTCCCCAGCTCCGGACTCGACTGCGTTTATCATCTCTGCACCCGAGGAAGAGCTTTCTTCATTGGCGATAAAATCTTCCGGAAACTCCGCTATGTTGTTTGAGCCAGAGCCTGAACCTTCGTTTATCGAAGTAGAGGTATCGAAAATTGCAGACCCTGAGGAGGAAAAAGATGCTTCAAAGCCCACGCTACCTGGGAGGGTACTTGCTCCGGAGTCTGACTGTCCAGAAGAAGCTCCAGCGGCAGATGAAGCCAACGTGGCCGATGAAATGCCTGTGCCGACCCTTTTTGGTGTTGGTAGATAGGCGTGCTTGGCAACTGGAAGTGCATGGGAGCCAGATCCAGAACTAGATCCACTATCGTGCTCTGCACTTGCTGATGATGCTGACGCTGATGCTGATGCCAATGCTGATGCTGTAGGCGCATAGTCCTTCTTCGCAAAGGTTTCAAATGATAATCTGCCGCTTCCACTGTCGCCATTTCCTGATTCAGACAGCTGGTCTTCGTATGCTGATCCTGATGCCGACTCGCTAATGTCCATGACGTGAGGCCCAGTCCCGGACAGTAATGAAGTTCCTGATGCATCCTCGCTTCCGGATCCGGCCAAAGACTGAAGGTCAGTGCTATCACTAAATCCGAATCCACCTGGTAGCGGCTCATCCGCCTGTCCAGATCCTGTGGATGATGCCAACGTATCGAGTCCAAACCCAAATCCCCCGCTAGTTTCAGCTTCTTGATCACCTGTGGATGTCGGTTTCGTCTGTGAAGGAATGGTTGTCTCATTAGACTTCTCGTTTGTTTCGTTTTTATTAGAGAGTGCCATGACCGGTTTGGCAATTTTCTTCTGCACAGTTTGCTTTTTTGTCGCATATACAACGCCTTCGTCTTGTCCCGAACCAGATCCAGAGATGTCTGTTAGCTCAGCTGACTTCATCAAATTTGCGTCCGCTTGCATCCCAGAACCAATTCCAGACCCTGCTCCAGATTGGTCTGTCATTCCGGACCCCAGTTTGTTTTCTGGAGAGGCCATGGTCATGAGATTAGGGCCCACTGCTCCAACACTACCAGGCAGAGTCTCGTCTTCTGAGGGTGGTATTTGTATTGACTGAAAATCTTCAGTGTTTCCAGAGGCGCTTTGCTGTTCCTCACTTCCTGAACCGGAAGCATCAGATGACTGTAAGACAGATGCAAGCGAAACGTCAGCACCTGTTGCGTGTTCTTCTCCCGAACCAGAAGCATCTTGTCGTACACTGACCGTGGGCTTTACTATCTGCACCGCCTCTTCTCCCGAACGCGACTTGGAAGAGGCTTGTAATTCGTCCAAGTTTAACTTGCCTCCAATACTACCAGGAAGGCTTTCTCTTTTTTCATCTGAAAAGCCAGATCCTGAAGATGTATCCGGCAGGATCTGTTCTAGCAATGATTGCTCTGGGGCTATTTGACTGTTTGATGTGGATGCTTGAGCGGATTCACCTGAACCAGAAAATGAATTGCCAGATGCATCTGCATTTACGTTTGCTTCGGTTTCTAGTTGGCTAAGGTCAGCAATGCTGCCAACACTACCTGGAAGCTCTTCCTCTCCCGACCTTGAGGTTTGCTTTGCTTTTGTTTGATCTTGAACGGAATGCACAATAGAATTTCCAATTCCTTGAACATGTCCAGAGCCTGACGCAACTGCATCCTCGACGCTGCTCTGCAAAGGGGTTCCAGACCCGGACGAGAAGGTAAAACCAGTTGCAGTAGCTGGCTCTGCTTGTGTTTTCTCAATTTTTTCAATGTCGCTCACTTGACCCATGCTACCTGGCATGGGTTCTTGAGGTTCATCATCCTCACCAGAACTATCTGCAGATGCATCATCACTTTCTGACTGGCTAAACCCCGAGATAAAGCTAACTCCGGAGCCACTCGCAACGTCAATTATCGTATCTCTCCTTTGTTCCTCGTCAGCACTGGATTCTCCTGAATCATCTTCATTGTCTTCGTCATCTGCCGAGCCCGAACCTGATTCCTCGTCATCATCATCGACATCGTCATCGTCATCGTCATCGTCATCCTCTTTCCCCGATGTTTCCTCTTGCTCAGATGAATTCACCTGAGATCTCCGTTGATATGTATCAACCTGACTTTCAGCTGAGCCAGATGTTGTTTCTTCGTCCTCCTCGTCCTCCCCACTTCCACTTGCACTAGCATTGGATTGCTCTCCGCTTTCGTCACCGCTCTCGTTATCATTATCATCAACACCTTCATCATCTTCGTCGTTACCCACACTTCCTGGCAACGTCGCTTTCTTCTGTGTGTGACCCTCACTGCTCTGTTCTGTCTTCGCCTTTTGAAGACCAGCGATAAAGGCAAGCTCGTCTGCGTTCAATCCACTACCACTGGCCTCTAATTCAGACGCTAGCTTTTGCTGGTTGGTATCAGCAGAGATTAAAGGAGGGGCTCCTCCCCCTAATCCACTAGCTTCGGGAAACCCTTGAGAAGAGGAACTTGCTTTTCTACTGTCTTCTGTTGGAGCAACCTCTTTGCTTTCATTGATTGTTCTGTTAGAGGCATTTATGGCTTCCTCAGGCTCTGCAGCGTTAAAGGATACAGTCTTTGGGTCCGTGGAAGTTTCCTTGTTAACCGAATTTTGTGAAAGAGGGACTGGGGGTGGTTGGGAGACGGGCCTGAAGCTTTGCGTTGCAGCAGCAGATACATCTGTCAGGGATCCCGAACTCTCTTCCGCGCTGCCGACTGTGGACCCAAAATCCTGTTCTGTGGGTTTCACTACAACTGGTTTTTCTTGTTCCTGTTCTGCGTCCTCCAGTGTATTCCCAGAACCGAGGGTATCTTCACCAACTATGATGTCCTTTTTTGTTTTCGACGATGCAGCATGCCCGCTGTCCCATTCTCCATCCCCAGAAGGCGAAGTTCCACTTTCAGTTAATTGTTTTTGGCTGAAGATGGAGTTATTCTGTTGAGGTTGCGGGAGAACTGGAAGAGAGGAAGTCCCACCAGCAGGCTCTACTCTTCGCCTGAATCTCTCTATACCCTCCCCTTTGGGTTTTACTGCCACCACCTCCTCACTTGGAATCGGCGCAAGGCTCTCTAATACTTCCATTAGGTTGATATCTGAATCCTTTTGTAGTTGGACATTGTCAGGGACATCACTTAGCTGGATAATAGAAACAATAGTCGTAAGCGTTTCGAAGTAAAACCCTTTTTTCCTGCCAAAGCACTCTGTAGCTCTTCTCAAAATAGGGAAAGACAGGCTCGCAAGCGGCCGAATCGTTTCTAAGCTTCAAGCAATTGGAAGTATTATCAGATTGTTTTTGACCAGTGCCCAGTGATCATTTACACACCAAGTTCAAGAGAGACATTGTTATTCAGTTTTCACTTAATTTTCTGTATTATTCTGTAGCTGATAAAAAAGCTAATCATTAAGGGACGCTTTATGGGAAAGTTAAAATCCGTGAAACAGTGAAACCACTGCCTTCATATTATTCGCCTAAATGAACAAATCACGAAAGACTCCATTAATTCTACAAAACTGTTAGTGCTAGTTATTGTGTTTTAGGATTTTACAGTTATTTTCGTACTGCCTTTTCCTGTTAGTATCGCCTTCGATGTATGCGTAATGAAGTCGATGTGAAACACGGAGAATCCATTTTGACAAAACTCTTTTGTTTTTGGATTTTTTTCGGTCGCCTTGAGACTTGTTCAAACACATCGAGCCGAAAGCAAAAACAACAACTGGTTCTGGCTTGCGTTTTTGTTTCACATTGACTACATGTATCTGCTTCAAATTCTGACTGGTTCATAAAAATGCTTGCGTCCTGATAGGATGGAGGGGAACACCTGCGGCGAAGCCAGTTTCTTGCCCCTTCATCACGATCGGTAGAATTAATTAGGTGTTAATCGCGTCCTTTGTTGCGCGTCTTCTGCAGGTTTTCTGGTGCTCTATTTTTACCTTCCTCGTGGCTTTTCGAAAGACCTGCCGCTTGACTAGCATTAGTTAGTTCCAGTGTACATTAACTAATTTACTGCATGATTACAACTTAAATGATAACTCTATGCCGGGTTAATCACCTCGGTACACGCTCCAAAAGCGACAAGTAAAGTTGTTATCAAAGTCTGTAGGATGAGCGCCATATTTTCCTGAAAAAAAAAGACATACTAAATTTTAGTAAAGTGGCATTTACATTTCCTGGCATATTTGGATATTTTATTACTTAGGTATAATTCCTTTCAGAATAGAGTTAGAATTGCACCCACTCAGCATAACAGATTTCCTTTTTGCTGAAACTTTTGAACAAAGTCATCCATAATGCCCGTCTAAGGAAAGGTGTTGAACAGTACTATTCCGGTTCAAATTTCCATTATTGAAGCCATCCTAATTTTGAGGTCTTTTTTGTCCATTATTGTTGAAACTACATTTTCAGGTATTTTTTGTCCTCTATACCGCGTATAGCCTCTCTTGGGTAAGGATGAAATAGTTCGATAAATTATATTGATATTTAGTGGCGTCTTTTTTTTAAAGGATACCGCTTTATTTAGTGCCCATTTATCACTCAAACTTCGTTGTCCGCAATTGAACACGTAAAGCACGTAAAGTGTCCTTTCTTATTTTGTTGCATTTTATTAATTATCACTGATCTGAATCCTTTCCAGCGGTATGATAAAATACGAATTGGATATTGATATTATCTATATGTACTGGATAATATACCTGTGTGCGGGTAGTAAGACCCTCGGCACTCCTTGCCGTTTGCCTACTGCTCTTTGGCCAGCTTCGATGAATTACTGCGAAAAATATGATAAGCTGACCAATTAACTTCACAGGTCTATTCAAAGTACTGCGAAAATATGGGAAGCCATGCAGAAAACTAAGTCGGGTTGAGAAGGAATTAAGGAAAACACCCTGTGGTATCATTCTACGTGTTCAAAATTGTGGTAGGGGAATGGGAAGTAATTTCAAGCAAGACCTCTTCCAACAGATGTGAGGGCCTGCAATAGCCTAGTTTAACGAAAGGGCGCATTAAATGTAATCATACTACAAATATAATTATATAAATTCACTTATATATTTTACTGTATACCTATTGGCTACTCCTTTATCGTATTTTTTCTTTCAAGAAATTTCAATAACCTTTTGATCAGACAAGTGTGTCTAGTGAACAAAAGTCAAAACAGTCTTTGACAGAGAGGTGAATGTTGGTCTAAAACGAAGGCAATTAGCCGCGTCTAAACAGCGTAATAGTGCCAACGGCTACACCAAAATCTTAGGTCCCGTTTTAGCATAAATATAGACAAGAATTTTCGTACTTACGTTGTATAATCAAGTCACCAGTAGGTTGCTCGGTTGGCCAGCAATTCAAGCAGATTAACTAGCCCTACGAGAAAGAAATACGGACTCTTTAACTATGCATTTAGAGTAAAGAAATTTCAGTGAAATCTAAAATCCGTACGCTTGAAAAAATAATCAAAATAAACCTTGGAAGGCAGAAATTTCCCGATTTTTTCTCAGAATTATGACAGACCGTCCGTGCTTGCAAATGCTATTTCCATAAAGTCATTCTTTCCATTGCGTATTATCTCATCTCCATGGTATGCGAACCTCCAAAGGCACATGCGCGTTGATCGTTGATGACCCCAAGTTAACATTTGGGAATCGATTAAAACCAATCGCGCTGTGAAAAAATGTAGTTCAATGAATTTTCTACAACATTATTTATTGCTAAGAGCGATAAATTTTATCCCATTCTGTGAGGAAATCTCAATTATCGCTTCAGGTTCGCGACGGTTGTTTTGGCCACCTGCATGTTTGTGATCAGGTCATCCGGGTGTTCTAAAAACACCGCTTGCTCTGTCACTTTTACTCCTGGAATGGAACGCGGACCTCCGATATTTTTTGTCGCTTTGCTTTCAGATTTAGATGGGCCTTCGTGGAGTCATCTTATGAAAAATACTAGAATGGACAACACCACTACACAGTACTGTGTAATATCTTTTAATTGGTTGATCGCACTAACCGGCTCGCAGATTTTATGTACCGGTTACGGGGAACTAATTCTTAAACCGTAATTGGTTTAGTTTGATCATCCTCACAAACACTTAGCCGTCAGGTTTATTACTCAGTGGCTAAAGATCATTGTTGCCGTTAGCAGTAGTTACTATTAAGAGAGACTGAAATTTTAAAATTGTGTCAGTGAATATCCTTCGCACAAATAACATGGGTTTGGAATAACTGACACTTCGTTTGTCAGGTTAAACGTCACGATAATCAGCCGACTGAACGGTTTTGCTGAAGCTCAACTCCACCGGATGATAGCAGTAGTAGATATTTAACTACCTTGATTCGAAAAAAACGTCATATCGTTCTACCAGAATTGGTTAATAATTTCGTTGTTGGAGTGAACTCCCTAACTACGGTGATTTACACAACGCATCTTACAGTTAAATACACCAGTACAATCATTCTATTCAGTATGTACAGTATTGAATACCTTTGTAAATACCACAAACAATTTTAAGACAGATATAAAATAAGAGGTTTATCAGATTGAAATTGTTATAAATTGAGGAGCCATTTGCTGCTTTAGTAGAATTCTGTGTCGTAAAGTACGTTGTCCTTTTGACGTTGACATCAGAAATCTGTTCCATCGATGGATCAGATATATACCCGTTATAATCATTTGTTTTTGGTTTTGGCTGTGTGTATTTCAGGATGGTTACTCACTGCTGGCCAAATCAAAATATCCTCTGATAAGCAATTGAACGAGAAACTCCAACTTAAGATACGATCTACTAATCTATTACTGGTGGCCTGTCACAAACGCTAACTGGCGTGTGTGCAAAACGTAATTAAATATGCAACGCCCTATATATAATCTGACAGTTTGTTTGAGAAACAAATGTTCCATTGGTAAGTTGAGGGCGTTAAGAATTATTCCCCTGATAGATTCGCTTCTCGCGTAGTATGCGTCAGTTGTTTCACTTGTTTCTTTATTGCTGTTTTATGAAAGCGTCTGGTCGACCTTTTGAAAGCACACTTACCAACTGGGTAAGACTAGCCAACGCCACCGCATTGGGGTGCGACGGAAACATGCTCTCGCTGTCCTGCGGGGGACAGGAAGAAGGACTTAAAATTAATTCTGCATTCTGGGGAAGGGACGATCTCAAGACTTGTCTTCCTGACAAACCTTCGGCGATGAATTTCAAGTTATGTGCACCGACTCAGCCTTATTATGCTCTGGCGAAATTGCAGTCTTCGTGTGAGAAGCAGCCATTTTGTAATATACCCGTGTCCGACCTGTTTTTTGAGCGCTCATTTTGCCCGGGTGTGGCGAAGTTTCTAAAAGTTGTGTATGACTGTAGGGTGATGAGTGGAATGGGCGCAAGATAGTTCAAAAGTTAAAGGGAAATCTCAACACTTGTCTCCAAAGAAAAATATCTTCACAGAATACATGAGTGCCTGCTGGTTGGCTGCTTTTCTAAGAAATTGAGGGGGAAGAAGTCTTTGTTTTAGAAAGACTGTTACACTTGACTATTTGAGGCTATTTGGTGCCTAATCGACCTTGGAAGATTTTACCCAAGAAAAGAGCTAGTGTTAGTACGGTCGTATTAGTTTTGAAGAACCTTCTCTACCAACATACCAAATCATGATAGATGTAATGTAGAAAGACTAGCCTGTGTTTCACGGACGCTGAAAGTTGAGCCATGTATCACAAAAAGCCACGTATGCCGGCAGAGTTGAAGCTTATGTACGCCGGGAAAGTGCCTTACACCGGCATTGTCAAATAACGCGGATAAACACCGATTTGAAACTTATTTAACGAGGGGTAGATACTTTGACTAGCAGTAGGCTTTCTTTACTTCAGTGACTGTGTTTTTATTCAAGCCAATCTTCAAATAAACGTTCGTTTGATGTTATATCAGGATTCGTAACATCCATGGCCAGTTCAACTGTTTGTGACCCAGGCGAAATAAGTGGAATCTTGGTATATTATTATTCCGTGATTATTGGACATATTCAAGCACTAACCATCCCAATCACCTCTCCGCTGTGTTTTGTCAGAGCGTGTACATTTAGATAGTGTTTACTAGATGATGATTGAAAGATAAGGAGGGGTACTTTCTGACTCGCTTCTTAGCTGCATATCGACCAGATATCGTAGAGGAGACAATGGATCAGTGTTCATCAATAACGTATTAACCGACTATCGGAGTGTTTATGTTGAACCTCATTGCAGTGCTTGATAAGGACTTAGAATAAGCAGTAGGAATGTCGCGATTTATATCTCGAGTGATTATCGTGAAACAAGCATTACTATTTAAAACTGAATCATAAATAATGAAATTCCAGAACTCTGAAGGGCTTGGCCATGATCATGGTTTATGAGCCATTCTACCATGCTCTCCAAATATGGTAACTGTACGAGTTTCCTCAAAATTAAAAACAAGCTGAGAATCGGTTGTTTTTACAAATAAAGTCGGGAAGAATTCTCGATATTTTGTGGGCGTGTTTAATAAAACAATTATTCCACTCGCGCTTGTTGGATATGAGATGATTATAGGCAACTCATATCCAACGCGCACTCGTGGAATAATTGTTAATTATATTTTATCAAATCTCTTGTCCGGGCCTCTTGTTATTTTTTATGGATATTATCCTCAATTCTTTTTCTTTCTTCGTATGCTTAATATGCGGCTAGGCCCTCAAGGCTGGGTATGCCTCTCCCAAGTCATGATGTCAATAGTGTGATTTGCCCCTATAATTTATCATTTTTCATTTCATGTTTCTCTTTTTACCCAACTTATATATTGTTTATTGTGAATTTTGTTTTGTTACTTCAAAAAGCTAACAATACAGAGTGTGAAGAGAGTATACTACGCATGGCCCTTCCTTTCTATAAGTTTTAATTTTGTACCCTTTTCCCTACGGAACATGAGATACCCTGTTTCTGTCTACGATACGGTAGTAGAACAGGTCTACCTTGTGTTGTTATAAAAGGGGACCATGGTTTCCCAGATGTGATATTGGCATTATCACTCTACCCGGTATCCAAGGTAAGGGGCAGACTTCTGTATATAACTCAAAAGTGATGTTAAGATACACCGTTTCTGTCAACAGGTACGAGTAGGTTAGCATGTTCGCCACGTAGTTATACAAAAGGCGACCATGATTTCCCAGATGCGATAATGGCATCAACGTTCTACCTGGTAGCCTAGCCGTTTCTCCGGGATAAGAGGCAATCTACCCGTAATTACGGCTACGCGCACGGGTATTTACCCGTACCCCTACACGGAAACGGTGTATCTTAAGGTCCCTAATTACTCATAAGTACTCATACACCGGTAGACACACAAAGTGCAAAGTCGCATATTTTGGCCATGTTGATGGAGCATCTTGCTGCCATCTGAACAGATCTGTTTTAAGGCAAGAGAAAGGAGGACACTCTGGATTGAATTATGTGGACAATATTGCAAAATGGTGTTATTGGCCCACTGGCCGTGGGTATAGTGTTTTAAAGAGAAAAAACGATTCCAAGTGAAAAAGCTAATCAAGAGTGCCACTAGGGCAGCGCGGCTCAAGATATTAGATTAGGAGATTGTGATGATGAGACATTGAGACAAACGGCATACTTCTAAATCCCCTATCTCGGAGTGACCGCTGATGCCTTTAAGAATCACCAACTAACTCAACTCCGTTGTGCACCAATACTCTTATTAAGTTACACACGGTAAGTTTGAAAAGACCATAAAACTTTACTGTCACAAACGTAAGACGTTGCGTTTATGGTACTAGGTCACCTACATTGACAAATGCTACTAACACGGGCATACCGTACTTCATTTACATTAGCATCTGTAAGACCCCTTAAATAGTTTGACATGAAAGTTAACTTTTTGAGTCAAGAGATTACTAAAAAACAGCGTGCACTCAGTAATCCTTGTAATTACTGGTGGTTTTTACAAGAGCTTTTTCTCAAAATAAGGGAAACACTTTAGAAATATTACTATTTACACCTTCGAAGTAAATAACAAAGTGTAGCATGAAAGACCATGAAATGAATCTTCCTAGATTAATAAAATGCTCTAACTGTTGTTTTCCTTGGAATTGTGAACAGAATGGTCAAATACAGAGTTTGTTCCTTCCCAAATTGTATTTCACCGACTAACATGACTTCTTTTTCCTGCTTCGAAATTTTCCAAGCCCTGCTTCAGAAATTTGCTACACATTATACAATCTGTAACTGGCGTTGAGAGTGCTGAACAGTATTAGCCGGTGAAAAACGTTGATATTGTGTTCTCGTCATGCTGATCGATCCAGTTAATAGCTAATAAGATTAGCCGCTGATTTTTGATCTTTGAATGGCTGCTTTGACTCGTGATTCACTAGGCAGGCACTCGTAGTTCACTCGTAGATACTTGTAGACCTGCCCACAGTCAGTCTTGTCAAAGAAGGTCGAGGTGGCAGCTAGTTCACAAGCTTGTTCGTCTTTACACTGTCCTTCCACTTTGGTCATTGTGTTGGACTCGTCTTGAGGGCACATTTCTGCGGTGCTGAGTCCGTGTTGGACGCCATTTGTGTTACAGGTGGCGGCGTCATCACGGCCCCAAAAGGCAGAATTAATTTTGATGACTCTATATTGTGGACATTCGATCCATTCCTTCTCTCCTTCACACGTGATGGTTTCCTGAGCCCCCTGGAATAAACAAAAATACGTCGTTTTTTGCGCTTATATAGGAAAGCAGAGTTTAAAGCCAAAATACAGCGAAAAACCGGCACTTATTATAAGTACTGTGAAAATCTGTTATTTCAATGTACCAAACGTGCAAAGTCGGCTGTCGTCGATTATGTTTTTGTCACATGTGCCTAAAATGACCACAATTCTGTGGAAGTGTTACAAGTAAATAAAGCACTTATTTATACAGGATGAGATTTCAGCAACGCTGATGTGGTCAAAACTTTTTATGAGAAAGAAATTATAGACTGGAACGTATAAAAATATTTGCTTCGAGATATATCAGCCAAATCACCTGGCTACTATGTAACCTTGCTTTCACTTTCGACTCGTGAAAGCCAAGCGATTTGCCTGAAATATCTTGAAACAAATATTTCTGTAAGTTTCAGTTTTCAATTTCTTTTTCATGGACGACAACGGAACGTGAAATGAACTTTTTCGCTTCAAAGACTTTTTATGTTTTCCATCTAGTGTTCATAGCATTCAAGCTACACTGAAAATCCACTGGCTGCTACTTACCACTGTTACGTTTTTCTTAAGGACTCTTATTATCATTGAATAGAAGACCTGATCCCAACTGTGTAAACACGGATCACAGAGGTTCAAATCTACTACGTCACAGCCTCAATTACTTACTGCTGCTGCAGCCCCCCCGAGACCTGGTGGACCAGGTGGCCCCGGAGGACCCGGTGGTCCTGGAATGCCCCCACGGGTATAAGCGTCGCCGCTTCCACTTCCACTACCTCCGCCTCCGTAGTAAGCAGGAGGTCCTGGTGGTCCGGGTGGACCCGGAGGTCCCATCAAGCCACCTTGCCCATTGACGAAGAATCCCACGGGTAATTTCTGGTTCCAGTAATAACTCAGAATATTTTCTTCTTCAGAGTTTCTCTTTATTAGACGTGGCTTTCTCGGTACAACTGAACAGTGCTGGGAAAAGAGAAATTTTTGTCTTATTGTTATTTTCATTTAACTTAAGTTATATTTATTTATTTTTTGTTAATACCCAATTTCTTAGTTGCAGAGATACTCTAGGCAAATCCAGGCTTCCAGTTATCTTCTCACAAGACAGTTTCAAGTTTTTCTAATGTCTTGGTAATCATATTTGGGCATTCTGGGTATCACTGGTATCAGAGCCAAGTTTAATAATCAAAATCCGGTAGCCAGACCAAAATCTGGATCAGCTTAAAGTCAATCATGGTAGAGTTGATATTTAGCACACCAAAAAGAAACGTCATGAGTAGAATAGAGGGGATTACGTTGCTGCAGCAGGCAAATTTTTGGCAATATGAATAAAGGCATTGTAATGGTTCGATAATTATTTTCGTTAAGTTAACAACAATCTCGACCCAGTACGGCTGTATATGACTGCATTAATCTGGCTTCATTCAATAATCATATTGAATTGTCGCTAAAATCGGTGCTTTCGAGATTTGAAAGTCATAACTAAAATTTTAGCTGTATTGTTATAACATTGTTGCCACAAGACTATTGAACGATCCCAACTGTACATATTACAAAATACGTTAAATCGAAAGGGCCCTTGATGTTTACAAAGTGTGTAAGTGGACTGGGTGAAGGCGAACTACCAGGAAATAAACTCATCGTAAAGTGTTCACAAACAAACCAAAATGTAACTTACCGCTAATATGAATAAGGCCAGGCCAACAGCCAGCCTCAGCAGGCTTGTATCAGCCTTCATTGCCTAAAGAAAACAAGAAAACACACAGGGAGAATTTGTCAGTCGCTCCCAGTTAAATCACTTTTCTTCGATGGCGCGTGACTGGTACCAGTACAGCTATCCTGGGAAGTAGTGATATCATCAGTAATCAGCTCAGTCATGGCGCCTCATCAAAGCTTTTCGGTAAACTCTGATTTTATTCATTCTCAGGTACCTGGATTTTGATTTCCTAGTTTAAACAAGAAAATTTTCGAAGCTAGACAAAGGGGTTGTCCCTACACGTATAGAATTAGATCGATTTAGAGTTTTTTCCCGCATCAGTTATAAGGAAGTCATGCATTAAATCTACTCCTCCCCTTTACCTTTCACCTGTGCACACTTAAAGATCTCAAACTAAGATTAAACACTTCTCAAAGTAACAGAACGTTAGCTGATATTTAATTGGTGGTTCATTTTGAATTGAATCCTTTTATAGGTACTCGATATCTCGACTCGAGGCAGAGAGAATTGACATGAAAGAGACAACTTTTAGGCTACAATGTCCATTAGGCTCGCATTACAAATTCTTACAACAGCTTTTGAAATTCATAAGTTTATTCGGGGATATTAATTTTATCAGCACTTAAATTAAAAACATAAATGGCGATTCTCTTTCCTAAGTGTAGATCGTTTATGCTGGAAGAACCCCGATTCAATTTGCTCACAACCGTTTTTAAGGCCTGATACCTTTGGCCTCCCCTCCCTCTAAGGTAGTGTTTTGTGACCCGTTTAAAAAAACGAATAAACCGAGATCAGGGGCTGATTGTTCTCTCTCAATTTACTTAAAAGTATTTCCCTAATATGACGCCTGAACAGCACTTTCAGAAGAGCTACATTTCTCTTCAATGAGAAGCAAATGGTGCTAATAAGATACAGCATCAACAAACCACGTATAATTTTTCTTGTGCGAACAAAATGTTAACGCAAAGATTAAATTGTGGCTTCTTCTTGGACAGTTACGTTTCTCAAAACCATTTTGCAAAGCCTTATTAAATGTAGACAGATGGAATACACGATGATTTTCACTGTTACTTCAACAGCCGAAGTTGCCCTCTTCAATGAACCCTTCATTTTCCAGTTTTTTGTTTACGAATACCAAACGCCAAATCGTTGGGCAGTCAATCATTTTTTGGTTCCTCATTCACATTCTACAAGATCAGCCGCAATGTAATACAGTTGGATATCTCTAAGGAACTAATGTCACAATTTCTGGCAATCATGTCCGATAATCATTGGCGTTTTTTGAGGCTTACAAACAGTCTCCGGGAACTCCGGTTGAAATGTAGATGGAACTCGACTCAGTTATCGAATCGTTTCAGCTTAACAAAAATTCACAGAAGCGGATCCCCCAGAGAGAATACATGCAACGCTGCTGACAATCGGTGAAAGTAAATGGAAAACGGCTTCTTTGCTCGGAGAACTTTCTGTAATGGCCTATACGGGTATATGATATGGTATACAAAGGGTTTGGACCTCGAGGTGAAGCTGCCTCGTATGAAGTATATTGAGTACCTCCCGCGGCTAGGGGCTTTTTGGCTCGTTCCAGCAAATTAGTGTAATTTGTTAGAAAATTTTTTGATTATTTTACTTTTCGTGTTAGGTGTCCCCGATTAGTAGGCTACGTGTAGCCAGCTAGAAGATTGACACATTGATAAAGATTTTCATTCAGACCGATAAGAGTAAGGCGCAATGAAGATTTACTATTACTGTTAACAAAGGTTGCCCTCTTTTCCAAGTGGGAATCAGTGTTCCAATTCAAACAGAATTTCTCCCGTTTCTTCAAAACTGTCTTTCATACCAGGTTTTTACGGCCATTTTTCGGTAAATGGAAACTGTAAATTAACGGTAAACAACGAGTCCTGAATTTTCTTTACAATTTGCTTGAACGGTTTGTAGAATTACAAGACAATGGCGAAAAAAAATTGTTCTGGACACTCAACTGAATCTGAAAAGGAGATTATTTCCTAATTCATCACCGTCTTAGCACTTTCCTGAAAGAAATGCCTTCATTATTACAAAAGAAGCGCTCCGATACATGAGTGTAGTTACATAGTTATGAAAATGATAGTTTTGCGAGCTGCACATAATTCTGGATACACCCCAATAAGAATTGAATCAGTTTCCAGCCAGTTAATTTGTTTGAACCTTTTGCAGTCATAGTGTGGTCAATGCCCTTGAAATGCTAAACTATCTTCATTTAGATAAAGGGAAAGTTTCAAGAATTGATAAACTTTTGGCCCTCTAAACGTATTTGCAGTGAGGCCCTGCTTTTACTACAAAAGAGATGGAAATTCAATCAGAAAAACTGACCTAAATCTCTATATGTTGGATTGTCGAAAACGTAAACTAACCACTTTTCTAGTCAATTAATCCTCTTTGAGAGATAATGAACCGAGGTGAAACGAAACAGCAGGTAGTTTGAAAACAAGAACAACGGGTTACAGCAGTCCACTCTTATCTGATCTTAAACAAGGAGCTTGACGAACTTAACCACCAAGGTATTGGTGACATTGTAATTGGCAGTTCGTAGAAAGTAAGGGGATATGCAATTTATCGTTCTCATTAAAATTTGTAAGCACAATGACTGCAGCAGTAGCATAAAAACAGAGAATTGGCTTCTTAGATATCATCATAAGCGTGGACACCATCAATGAAATGACAGACAATTTTTGTCTGGTAGGCTCCCCTAACTGCAAGAACGTTTCAGATAAAAATAAATAATAACAGGACCAATTGGAGTTGATTTGCTTAGCTGCACCAATGCATAGGTTTCATCAGTGTACAGGATTCCTGATTCCAATACAAGCGTCTCCAGTTTCCTCTCTATTAACAATCAATTATCTGTGATGGAACATCTCTCGTGAATTATTGTACAGTTCAGAGGACTATCGTTCAGCACGTCACTAGTTCCACTTTTCAAAGCGCAAAGGTCTACGGGTCGGTGCAAAAAAAAATTTGCCTTAACAGGTTCCACTCCGACGAGACTAAAAATAACCATGCTAAGCCTTTCACGCCTTCGAGAAGAGAAGCGATTGCCACCAATACTAAGCCAAAAAAACTGGGAGGAGCGGAGCAAAAAACTCGTGTTTACTTCAACCTCTTGCGTATGTGTAATTTCCAAGATTGGTCTACGCCCCATGGTTTCCACAGCCTGATGTTAACCGGTGTCATGATCACAAAATTGATTCTCCGGTCATAACTCTTACGGTTCAGTTAACTGATTTGTGCGCAAGAAAAAAAAGTAATAAGGTTTATCTAGTCCGTCGCAAGACACAAGGAAAGTATTTTTTAGTTGTTTGATACTGGCTGTTTTTACTACTATTTAACGAAAACAAATGTGTAATGTTATAATATTAATCTTAGTCATCACTATAGTTTGATATTGTCTTCTTATGTTTCCTGGGCAAGTTTATCTTTCTTTAAACAACAATAATATGGAGGGAAAATAAAAAACGCCAGCGTACTAAAATATGAATTAACGATTAAGTCGTCCAACGCTGTACGAAGTTAAGAGATAGGCTTTTATCGAAAGGCAAAAAGTTGGGAAAGTTTACATGAAAAATCGAACGCTGTTTGTAAGGTCGACCTGGCAGTGGAATTTTTTTGAATCATTTTTTCAGCACTATCGACTTTATCTTATAAAGAGGAAAATATGGCCTTAAAATTTTAGAGAAATAAATTCTAGTGAAATAGCAAAAAGTATCTGATTTTTCTTAATGGTGGAATTCACGTTATCTCAACGAAACGAATACCGTTTCGCTTCAATGAACCCCAGGGTTGTTTCATCTTCTCCCTCAAACCCCCAGTGTCAGAAAATGAAATGAGATAATTTATGCAGTTCAACGAATCCAAATGTGATTTTGAAAATCTCTTACCTCTGGTCAAAATCCACGGCCAAGAAATCCGAGGAAAAGAAATAAAAGTTTTCCAAAATGGACCCTGTTAAGCCTGTCCAATTTGGTCACCGTTCTCGTCCCAGATGTTAGGTAATGAGACTACACGTTATTACGTCATGCGTCAAGCGCGTAACATTTACCTACCCGCCAAAAATGAAGCCACTGAGCGTGCGCATCCGGCACCAGTTCGACTTTTACGCTGGGTGATTTTTCAATGATTCAGTCACTGTCAATAAACAAAACAAATTATAGTTGGAAGTTTGTCAAAAACAGGGAAGTAATGTCAAATAAACGCCAAGAAGTTTGCTTTTTAAGTCTTGCTTTCACTTATGTTTGAAGACTTTTTCTACCTTTGAATGTCAAAATCAAAGGCTGAGGTGACTAACTAAGAAAACATGATTACCCTGTTATTAAAATAGCTGCAATCAGATCACATCACTTGAAAATCAAATAGGTGGTAAATATTTCGTTCAATTTATCTCCAGACGCTTATTTATTTAACCGACGAAGAAGGTTTTCAAACTAAACGCAAATAGTATTGATTCTCTAATTTTAACAAAAGTGCAGTTCTAACCCTTACGTTTGAAACAAATTTTTTTGGGAAGTTACTGAAGTGAATCTGTTTGGTAATAAAGGAAAAATTGAAATATTGTCAGAAAGCTCACTGGTCTTTCCTGCAATTCAAAATACTCTTGCTCCCAAATAAACGTTATTTAATTCTAACAGCGACGGTAATCCTTTTTAAGAGACTTGATGAGAACGTTAGCCTTCCTTGCGAAAATATTCTAACCTTAGCTGAATCTGAGTATGAGAATTGTCCATTTACGAATCTCACCTTTATATCACTCATCGGCGGACAAATAAGCTTCTGTATCACTCAGCTACAAAGAGAAAATAATTCTCACTGTTTCCACGCAAGGCAGGCCTTGTGTTTTGTATGTACTGTAGCTGTCTTGAACCACAAAGTGTTATTTAAACCTCAACACGCTTGAAAAACCTGGCCAGTATTGTTGATGTCATGGTTGGGAAAAATTCACTGAACCAAAGAAACACTAGAGTGCATATGTTTGGTTAGACTCGCTCAAGCAAGTCAGCCTAAACGAAACTGTGGGTTTATTTGTATCATCTCTCGGCGTTCGACGTAACAGAAACAGCAGGGTCTCTCGTTCAACCATTAAAAAACTGACCGTGCAGGTCTATGTAATTCAGCTAGCCAAAACACAAAAGGGGTACCGTCTGGTTGAACACCAAAAAGGTGAAAACGTGCTAATAAGTTATTACCTAGATGAAACGTGCCTAGGATGTTGTAGTACTAATGTTTCTTTGGGTTAGTAAAGCTAAAAAGCTATTTACGGGAATGTGTGCGTGAACCATCACCACCTGCGATAACAGAAAACGCTGCGGTAAGAGAAAACGCCCCTCTCTTAATAGAGAGTCTGCGTGGGGTTAGCTAAGAATTGTCTAAACATATAACTGTCAACTGCGAAATGGCTCTCTTTTATTTCTTGGTTAGCGTAAGATACATTGTCTGACGACTAATTCTGCCCCCAATCCGGCTGACCGCTGGGCGACAATAGACTGGTGAATTCACAACTTTCATGTAGGCCGCCGTTATCCTAATCATCAGTAGAGTAAGGAGTTTTGCCACATGAATGTTGGAGATAAAATATAAAAACAGTGTATGTGTATCATATTATAAATCTAGGGACTACCGTCTCTGAGTACATGAATCAGGGTGCCTAAGAGAGCACCCTTATTGTGTGGTTGAAACCTAAGAGTGTGTTCGAGGCTTGGAGCTTCTCAAAAGTCTTCTTAAACAGTCGCATGATCGTCGGGAGGTGATGAGCTTCTCAGAAGTCTCCTTTAACAGTTGCATGCTCTTCGGGAGGTGATAAGCAACATTTTCCTTTGTCACGAAGAGACTGAATCACGCAAACGTTTTTCGGCAATCTGCGCATGTTCCTCGACACTATATGTTCAAAGGGATGGGCACCTCTAGTGAGATTTTGATTAATACCGTTATAAAAAACGTGAAAGTTAAGACGAGTCTGAAGGTGCTTAAATATTTGCTTATTACTGTGAAATGACTTGAATTATAGCTGATCACTGAAAATCCGGCACCCCATGCGAACTGTTTTTATCAGTTAACGGTCGACAAAAAACCGAACTCCATTCCTCCAATTTACGGTGACCTGAATAACTAACTGTTCTTTCGGCAGCGTAAACTATTATGATGTGCTTCTTCTCTTCCTGCAAGATAGGAAGAGCAAAGAAGCTCTGTAGAAAATGATGTTAGCGTTTGGTAAGGGGCGTTCTTACCTAACGCTTGGAAATACCGGTGGTTAAGCGGGTATTAATTAGTGTTTTAGAAAGTGTTATTTTTTTTCTTGGCTGTTATTTTGTCGTGTGATAATTAATGTTCATTGTGTTTCCAATCTTTTGTATGTATGTCGAAAGATTTGGTGTTCTTAGTCTTCTGCATCTCCATGTCTGTTTAACCTGTTCAGTGAACATGTATGGGCATGCGTTGTTTCTAAATGAGATAATCATACGTTGTGATTATAAGAAGGAGACTTTTGACTTATTCTAACAGTTCCTATTGAATTAGTAAGCATATCACACTGGTGCCTTGAATAGTAGGCTGCTTGAAGGTCCTTCCCTAGATGATGATAAAGCTGGCTTTTATCGCGGTCGCTTTATATGCAGTTGCAGTAAGTCCTACTCAGGATCTGTAGTATTCTGTCTTGCTTACCATTTTGGCCTTTTACAATCACTGTTTTAATTTCAGCTACGTGGCGTTATAATCATGGCTTCTCTCCCCGCGGTTGGGTTGATCACATGAAAATTCATTTGGTTGTTACACGATAGTTTTCAGGGCATAGCAAGCAAATTTACTCAAAGCAAAAGGACATAAGTTTAAATTCCATGCGAAATTATTTGAATTTGTTTTTTCCTAACTGAATTGAAATAGCGCTATTTAAAAACGTGTATTAGGTCGATTTATTGTTTAATTATTTAATTACTTCTTCTGGTCAGTTGATCGTAATTGCAATGGCATTGGTTATCAGAGCCCCATATTGGAATCATTCATCGGTACTGAATCTTGATTTAGTTTTGAATTCGTATTATTTAAAATTCATGATTCATTTCTGTTTCAACAGCTGACTCAGGCTAGGTTCACACTTTTCCAGGTAGCTTTTGCCCCGCGCGAAAATTATACCGGCTAGGGCTTCTGTTCATACATAAGAACAGTTGATTTCGGCGTGACTTCCGTAACGGAGCAAAGCTGCGCCGCGTCGATCTCTAAAGAGGAGAGAGACATATCGGATAGTTGTGCTTACTATACCGGATAGCTAGTAATCAAGTTTGCCTTTTGAAACAAGAAAAGATTGGCATTATTTTTAACTGGAACTTTCCACAACGCTTAATATAACGACCATGACCCGTCCTCTCCCCGCGATAAGCGACCCCATTGAAGGGAGAATGGGACGCGCAAAGCCTTCTAGGAGTTCAGTCCGCCATTCTGTCTTTTTTTCACATAGATAGAAGCAAGAGGCATTGCCCTCAGGGGCAGCCCGATAAAAATTGGACCGTAATTTCTTGTATCGACAGACTAGATTTTAGTTCTTCTTTACCCCCTGAAAAACCACGTGACATTGCTTTTATCCCATCAACAGGCCGTGGGACGTGCATGGGGGCGGACGTGTTTTTATGAGACTCGGCTACGACATACAGTGATCCTGTTTGCCTTTTTCTGCCCTCGTATCCTTAAGCGCGTGCATTCTGGCGGGTATCGTATGAAGGGTTCTATTGAGACTGTCTCTGCGTGCTATTATGAATGCAATTGTAGTTTTGATCAGCCATGCCTGGTATAGCTACTGTCAGTAAAGAAATATCTTCTTAATTTGACTTGTTGTTCTCCTACCAGCAATCTTCTATAGTTCCACGAAAGCCCCGTCACCTTAAGAATGAACGTCAGAGCATAGTGAGTTACTACCGCAACCAGAAATTACCCTTGGGATTTTTTGTGAATGGACGCGGATCACGGACGACGCCCCGTTTACTCATAAGTAGCGGAAGTGGAAGTGGAAGTGGGAGCGGAAGCGGAAGTGGTGATATTATTTCCCGTTTTGTGATTTCCCATGGTCGTAAGAAAAGTAAAGTGTAACAAATGATGCTTGTCAGACTCACTAATCTTGTTTGATCATCTTGAAGACGAACGTTTGTTAATAAACGAAGGATTTACTGGTTGAAAGTCTAGTTTGCTTTATGTTTTTTATTAAGGAAAACCACGTAATTGCGTAAGTCGTTTGCCTCCATTTTATGACCCTTTCTCTAATCTGTTCTATGATTATGCGAAGTGATTTCAGGGCAATATCAAACAATTAATTTAATCATTAAACACCACGCAAAAAAAAAGAGTATGCGTTTGACTTTTAGTTACCTCCCTTCGAATAAATGTTTCAAGGTATTGATAGCTGTCTGTTACGTAAGATTTTGCTCACCAATCAAGCTGATAAACAAGAATGAAAAGGGTAGATCGTATCATTAGCTGCTGGAGAAGGGCAGATGGGATACAAGATTCGCATGAGGACAACAACAGATAATATAGAAAGTAATTAGTATGACTTGTTTTACAAACCTTCTCCAAAGATATTTTAGCTAGTATTTAAACTTCCGTCTATTTGAAATTAAGATTATTATTAGACGGGATTTTAAATGAAAGCGTTTGTGTGCACATGGTAAAAAGTGACGCGTAATGTTTCAGCTTACCGAGGGACTTAGCGCGCGGAAGATATTTGCAGACCTTTGAAATAGCCATATCGTTTTTTCCGGTGTTTAATAGGTCTTTGCTGACCTCAAGGCATCTGAAAAAGTCGCTCGTTGTGCACATGGATTCTTGTAAAGCGACAGAAAAAAAAATTTAAAAAACGGTGTGCGCCTAAATGTCCTCTGTCTCATTTAATTTCTTTTCACCCAGCCCAATAAAACAATGAATTAGGAACTAAGCAATAGTTAAAAAATGGGATCCGGTCATTTTCCGTCTTCTTTTAAAACTTCTCTTCTATCTTTACTACTTAAGAAGGCCTGCTTAGATCATGAAGTTCTTGCAAACTTCAGACCTGTTTCAAACCTCAAGGTGATCTCAAAAGTTATTGAAAAGGTCGTCGCAGTACGTCTTCAAAAATATTTAGAAGCTAACCAGCTAAATGAGCCGCTACAATCTGCCTATAAACCTTTTCACAGTGGTGAACCCGCCCTTGTGCTTGTTCATAATGACATTTTGGTTTTTATTGATAAACGTCACTGTGTTATGCTTCTACTGTTAGACCTGTCTGTTCCTTCGACACTTTGGATCACGATATCCTCCTTACAAGATTGCACTAAATACTCTATCTCTGGCATAGCCCTTGAATGGTTTCGCTCCTACCTTACTAATCGCTCGCAGTTTGCGTTAATTGAAGGATGTAGATATCACAGTCTCACGAGCTCAAGTGCGGTGTACCTCAAGGTTCTGTCCTTGGCCCGATTCTGTATGTACTCTACACAGCACCTGCCGACATTCTACGATTCCGTGAAATGCAATTTCACTTTTACGCCGATGACACTCAATTATATATTTCTTTCTCTACAAACAACGATATAGAATTAACCAACAGTATCACTAAGATTGAGGAATGCCTGTCCGACATTGATAAGAAGATGTCCATCTACAGACTAAAACTAAAGGCAAAGACAAGACCGTGCTTCTCTACTTATTCTCAAAGTATAATCCACAACAATCTCTACCAACGCGTCACTTTGGAACAGACATAATCAAGCCCTCTTCACCTGCAAGAAATATTGGCGCTATCTTCGATAACAGTATGCCAATGCTTCCCCATGTCAACAATGTTTGTAAATCTGCCTTTTATCATTTTCGCACCATTTCCTGCATAAAGGAAATACTTATCAACGCAAACTACTGAGATTCATATTCACGCCTTTGTAACTTCCAAACTTTCAATTCTCTACTATATAATGTCCCTAAAAACGTCAATCGGTGCACAGGTGCAGCTGCCAGACTGATTACACGCTCTAGGAAGTGTTATCTCATCACTCCCATCCTCTTTGATCTTCTCTGGCTACTTGTTTCTGAACGAATTAAAGAGTCTACTACTTACCTTCAAGGCTCTACATTCAAGACGTAATCACCCGCTACTTACCGTCTAGATCGCTTCGGTCATCTTCTACGCTCAGTCTGAATCCTGTTAGCTTTAACCTTAAGACCTATGGATCTAGAGCATTTGCTGTCTCAGCCCTCCAACTTTGGTCGTTGGGAAGATTTATTTCATTTTATATGTGGTATATTTGAATTTAAATTTATTTTAATTCTAATTTTTTCACTTTGTTAAGCGCCTGGTTCATTACTGGATAGGCGCTATAAAAATGTTCTTCTTCTTCTTCTTCTTCTTCTTATTATTATTATTATTATTATTATTATTATTATTATTAAAAAGACAATGGAAATGTCATATTGACACGACAAGATTTCCTTCCGGACCGCACTGCCGACGGAGATTTGTTGTTACATTCTTAAGTACATTTTAGACTTTCGAAGACATCTTTCGTCTTATTTAAAATTTGGCCCGCGGCTTGAAGACTTCTCTCAATTTTGTCTCTAGTTGGCTGCCTTGCGACCTAAAATGCTCGTTTCGCTCGCTTTTCAACTTTTCTGCGGTGGAACTCGTGTCAGAGGTCAATTTGTGGCAAGTCCAAGCCTAGCAATATTTGCTCGCGATCTAGCTTCAAAAGTTGGAAAGATATAAATAAAAATGTAATCTTAACGCGAAGAAGCATCGCAAAGGTTACTCAAAGATTATATTATGATTTCATTGCACCCGTTTCCCTAATTATTTAGTGCCTGTCGTTTGATTTTGTCCGCCGTAAGGAGGTTTTATTATAAGTTTACTAACATGTCTTTGCGACACATCGTGCTTCATGAAGCTTCCACAAGATATCCTCAGTCACATTCGTGTCTCAATGGTTTGTTTTTTACATAGTCTTTATTGTTGCTGTGCCATTTCTGCTTATTCCTTTCACGACTATCTGAGCTTGTATGGAAGCTGACGGGAGAAATAAGCCTTCAACTGGCATTAGAGTGCTCCCCTTCTCTCTTTGGTCCTCCCAACAGCAATGAAAGTAACGCCAAAAACAAAACTGTTTTACCCAAATCAAAACTTAAAGGGAACAATATATCATTGATCTGTAATTCTGAGACGTTTTAGTGAAGTATCGAACTCGGCCAAGCGCGATGCAAACGGATTTTTCAAGGTTCTATTGCTCTCCTCGCATCTTTTGAATTCGCGACATCCTGTCAGAAAATCAAAGTTACATGCACGGTAACCGGATACTGCTCCTTTAAGGTGGTTTTATTCTTTGGGTAAAATTCTAGTTTTCAGGTTAAGTATTTACAGTATGGCGCTGTTTTGCTACCATGCCGTGGAGCATGCACAGTGAGTGGTGCGCACGCCCGAAAAAAAAACGAATTAAGCGTATCGCAAGTTATACGTTTTTGATGCCGCAGTGTGGGCATTCGTCAACGATGCTTAAACGCTAATGTGGACGTGGGAAATTTGATTCGTTTTTTGTTAACCCGAAAGGCTTTCGGAAATGTGTAAGTGTGAACAGAGTCTGACCGTTAATGTTATCAGTTTTCTTTTAAACACCGTCGCCACTGGAACAACGTTGGAAAAGAAAGCGTTAACTACCTGAAATGGTAGATTCCAAAGAAGTGATTGAAAATAGTAGCTTTGTTCCTGCTTAATATATGGTCGGGTGTGGCTGCAGAAGTTCCATTTTATTTTAAAGCAAAGACAACAAAGACACAAAGTCTTGTAGTCGGTCGGTCCCTAAAAAGACTTTATTATCGTGCCACGGTTGATTGCTAAAACACAACTCAACTTGTTGAAAAAAAGTACATGAGTGGTTAACGGCAATGTCGTTTATTGACAAAATTTAAACTTCAAACTGATGAAGTAGACTTCATTCACATCTCGTCACCAAATAACAGCATATCACCACCGATTAACTCTTCTAGAACTATAATACTAGCGTGTACACCAGTAAACCATTCCATTATCAGTTTATTTACATATGACTGAAGATAACATCATAAATCGCCCTATAATATCATACACAAACGATTGAAACAGGTAGTGATTTTCCGTTTTGTATCGTGGCTTGTACCAGTTCGTTTGGTTAGTTTGTGTTGGTCGGTTAATCTTTTATTTAAGTAGCACTAATTAGTAACGTTTTAGAACAAAAACTGTCTACAAACAAAAAAAACACACCCTAGCTCTCTAAATACAATCATTCTCTTGTTAAATTTTATAACAACGTGTCGAGCCGAGCAAATATCGTTCGATTCTACGAAGATGATTTAATCATGTCATGTACAGAAAGAAAACTACCTTAAATCGATATAATACGTGGAACAAGTGCCATGTATGTCGTCTTCTTTCGCGGAAGAATTAGAAATTTGCAGGCCTTCGCCTTGGTTATGATACGATTTATTCGCTCATATTCTCCATATCAGGCAAGCCCGTTTTTACAAATAGAACTCTTTCCAGCAAAGTAAAATGTTACATCCATTAAAGAGCCAAGAAAATGCAACGTCCGATAGAAAGTTCGTTTTGTTCTTTCATTTATTGGCTCAACCCAGGTAGTTAGCGTTGAGTAGGTTATCCTCGTTGACAACTTCGTGCCCGTTAATAACTTCGATGCATTTATAGTAGACTTCCAAGTATTTGTATACGTCAGCGCATGATTGGTCGTTGAAAAAGAACTTCGTGCATCTAATCTCGCACATGGTCGTTCCCTCGCAGGCGTCTTTTACTTTTGTGAGAAACAATGGTGTTGTCGGGCAGTACTGATTAAACTTAAGATTTCCTGTGTGCTCTGTGCACAAGCCGAAGTTTCGTCTTCCCCAGAAAGCAGAGATTATGCTAATGTGTTTGTATTCGTTGCATCTGAGCCAAGCTGTGTCCTCTTCACATTTCACTGTGCCGTTCTGTGAAAAACAAAGACACAAGTTTATTCAAGAATTATCAGAAACTGGAAGATCAGTCACCGCCACTACTCAAGTTTGAAACTTCTTAAACTTGCTTGAACACTAGCAAAGAAATTAAGTAAGAAACCTTTTGAAGGGTAACACGTGACAACTATCACTGATCACTCTGGTGTCATTCATTGATTTTGACAGATACGTACTGTCGTTGTCGCCTCGAAAGTTATGTTATGGCAACCAATTGTAGGAAGAGTTAGGAAGAAAGCCAGTCGACTATATCCACAACACCAAAAGGAACACCAGTCTTGACAACGTCAGCGATATTTGGTCAGCAATGCTGGATTGAAATGTGTGGGAAGATTTTGTCATGGAAGCTCGATTGTGAGATCGGCCTTAAGTAAGTAAGTATTTTCGTCTGTATCCTTTAAAACCTTAAGCTCGAATAGTGTTTAGTGTTATAAGACTAAAATGGGGTACTTACGTATCTGATTGGTGTGGGGCCAGGGGGACCTTGCGGACCAGGGGGACCTTGCATACCGGGGATACCAGGCATTCCGCTACCTCCCGGGAAACCAGGAGGACCGGGGAAACCAGGGGCTCCAGGAGCACCATCCATACCGGGAGGACCCTGGAAACCCGGAGAACCGGGTAGACCTGGTGTACCTGGAAAACCAGGCGGACCAGGATCTCCCTTGAAACCTGGAGGTCCTTGTGGTCCAGGAGATCCAGACATTCCTGCCATACCATTCATACCGGGAGGACCTTGAAGGCCTTTGAGAATGAAACCCAGTGTTACATTCTGATCCTTTAGTAGTTTGTTTAGGAGTGGAGGGACTGAAGACATTGGCAGCGACGCCTTACGGAAAGAACAATGAAAAACAATTAGTGAGGATATTTTCTAATTCCTGGTAATTCTTTTTGGCTCTGTGATTGTAAAAGCTTTCATTACCGTCCTATATAAGCTAACAAAGACAAGAAAACATATGAATAAGACTGTGAGGTAATAAAAGTTCAAAGTGGAAACAGGAGAGCGAGGACTGCTCGTAAGAAAGATGTACTACCCAAGACATGCGGATAAAGTGTGTTTTTCAACTGCTTATTTCTCTTTTATCCGTTGAAAGTCAAGAGACAAATTAAAATTGCGTATTCGATTTAGCTATCAAAATTTGTCAGTCCATATCGTACATATATTATTTTGTTCTGTCTTTTCTGTGCCAGACTCCCTCTAACTGGGACGAAGTTTTCTTTATCTTCGATCGGTTAGGAAACACTCTAAAATTCCAGAAACAGATTTGACCCATGCTTAAGCATTATAATCTGAAAGCAAGGTAATTATAAACAGCTCTCGGGCAGCGTATCGTTGTATAAGTAAAATCAGTGAACACAAATTAAATCGCCATAGTCAAAACCACCAGGATAACTATCACATGCCACCATGAAATTCACCTGGTTTTAAAATCGATCGATGACTACACTTAAGTTCACCTAAAAGCATTTGTATTACCGATTTGTCTGTGGCCAGATATATCGCCGCAAAAGTTACGACAACCACCGCAAGCATGGAATCGTAGCTGGGTATTTTAGGGTTCCTGATTGGGCCTTGGCTTTGTTCCTCTGGATTAGTGATTTCTGTATTCTGCCGATCTTGTCCAGTAACTTGTTGCTTTAAAATTTTAACTATTAGAACTTCTTTCCTTCGCCATTTCTTATATTTAAACGTTAATTTCTGGCAAAAGTATAGCGAAAAATCGAAACGGACGGAAAACGGAATATGTAATCGACGTGTGATTGTAAAAAATTAACAAGAAACTTCCTTCACAGTTTATTTCACTCACTCCATATTTGGTGCTAAAACAGGTGGGTTGACACTAAATATGGCGCGAAATAGAGAAAAAACACATTTGAAAATGGTTCCGAAGCTAATATTCATTACGATAAAATATTTCCATACATTAAATCAAGAACCATTTGGAAACAGAGATATCAAGAAGTTTCACATCCCTCGATCGATGTAGTTTGTTGATCTTTGATAAAATCTGTGATGCCAATAATCTGAAACTACATGTGTCATATGTCTTTGTGTGTTAAGCAAAACATCATAGTAAAAAATAAAAACGATAAACCATAATGGACTGTGCACAGCAATTTTAATTTACGAAGAGACTATGGTAATACAAAAAGTACTCAGTTGTGCCGTTTGCGTATATACATTTAAGTCGTCGGTATATGTTTTAAAGCCTGGAGTTACTCATCCAAAATGATACGGTTCTTTGATTAGCCACCAACCGTTCGATCAATCGTTCCATTGATCAAACGTTCGATCGACTAAGACAACACGCCCAGTAAACTAAACTCAGTGATTCGTTTATAAATCAGTACTTACCGATAACTGAAAATGTACTAGGCCTACGGCGACTAGTACCGCCAAGGAAGCGATCCTCATGACCTAGGAAAATAAACAGAAAACACTATTTTTCCAAAAATGAAACTGACCCTTCCGTCAAGCCAACATAGGAAGGGGGTTGGGGAGTTTGGTTTCTAGCCAGGCTACCGTGACTTCATTCCACCAGTAAATTGTTTATATATTAGGCAACTGGTGAATGAATAGTTAATTATCTTTGTCTAATGACTTAACTATTTGAGGATAACGTAGTGTTGGATTAGGGGGACAGCACTCATTCAACTGGTCCGCTCTACAGGTGTTTAAAAATCTTTCGGCCAATTACAGCCGCCTGTTGTGACATTTTCTGTTCTGGTTTGTAATTTTTAGATCTTTAGCTAACGAGGGTCTTTTGGATTTGTAATTTTTCGCGGGCTTTTTTCCCTTGCAAATAAAAGTACCCGAAGTTGCTCATAAAGGCTAACAATCGTTTCATCGCCTTACGCCCCTTAGTCAACTTTCCGTCACCCAAGAATAAGACAAGAATTCTATCTTGTTGTAACCTTGGCACCAAAGTGACCTAAAAAGACTCATGTTACTAGAAAAAGTAAAAATCTTTTCTATTACTATTGCTTTATGATAACAATTTGCTCTTTCAGCGTGGTATCATTACTTCTAAGTTGCTGGATTGTTTCTCAGGAGTGACCATCCACAAAAGGGTGGTATTGAATTGCCTTCCTACCGTGCTGTTTGTTTTTTGGGTGTTTGTAACGCGATTCTTCTTTTTTTTAGTTCTGCATTCAAGCACCATTTAAAGGAACACGGCCAAAAGAGCAGATCTAAAATAAATTTGCTACTATAAATTAAAACGGGAGCGTCAGATGTCTAATTTGCGTAGTTCGTCAGATCAAGCTTCATTACAGAGTCTGACTCGAACAGAAGGTACACAAACACACGTTCGAGTCTTTCGATTAAATCCCTCGAACGTTTCACACTTTATATAACAAAATGCTTACCTTACTTGACCATAAAATACCTTCGATAACTGATATGATAGTGCTATCCAGTGGACTTAACTTGATATCGGTGGGAGACGTCTTGCACAAGCAAGATATATCACCGTAATGCCTCCAGAAAAGGTCCTTCAAAGGTGATATCAATCACTTCCGGGTGCAAAGGAAACAATGAAGCTCCTCTTTTGGAGACTTGAGCTTTGGGTTCCCGAAACAACCCCTTGATGAATAAGTCCGTTATCGAATTGATATAAAGATCCTGTTCGCTTTTGCCGATTCCAGAATGTAGTGACCACGACAAATGACCTCACGCTAGCCAAGGCATTTCCCACCGATATCTTGAACCACTTGATCCGCAAATATATTACACAGTTCCCTCTCAGTGTAGTTTTAAAAACACTGCGTAGTTACAACACCAACCTGAAGTTATCAGCCCGTTCTACAAAAAAAGTATGGCTGCCACCTACAAAGCTTCCGGCGCTTTTTGCTCTGAAACTGAGTTCGCGAATTGGCTCCCAATATGAGAGGTTTGACTGGTTGATTGGGCGAGGGGCACCGAACCTGAGCCTGCGTTATTTAGCGTCAGTGTTATCGCGCTTAACGTGGCATCACCGGCTCGTGAAGACTAAGACACTTGATACACAACATTAAGATGCGATGACGTAATCAGTTGACCCTGAACACTACTCTGCCAATCAGCACTCGAGTTTAAGCGCGCGAACAGGTTGTCGGAGTGTGGAAAAGAGAGCAAATAAGCTCTTGAGTTTCTTCATTCACGCCCTCTTGAGAAAAAAATAATCACTGAGTATGTTTTCATGGTTTTGATTTTCGACTTATAGGGGCAGCATTTTATGTTTTGACTCCCATTAGAATTTCTTAACAATTTTTTTATGTGGAAAATAATGCCTTTTTCTTCTGTTGTGTCTTGGAAAATGAAAGTGTTCTGACGTAATGTTACTCAATAATCTTCGGGTGTCATGCAACACATTGGTGTTAACCTAAGAGAACCTTGAAAATCGAAGGAGAAAATTTTCAGTTTTCTTAAACAGCGAGGTTAGAAATATGGCAGAAAATTTGAAAATAAAAAATAATTGTAGTAATATCAATCAAAAAGAGTATAATCAAAGTACTTTTTTGTAAAAGATACAATCACGCGAGCTTTTTACTATTCATAGAGCGTGCAAAAATCACTGAGTACCTACAAGGATCTTAATTTTACTCCTGTATTTCAGCAACTGTTTTCTTTTTCCTCCGGTTCTTTGCTCCTTTTCATTAGGTTCACACCCCCGATGGGGACAATGTAAACACAAACCTCCCTGAAGCTTTTATGCTATAAACCGCTTATTTTCAAAAGTCAAACAACCTGTCTTTATTGCTGTTCAAGAATCTCAAGATTCAACTGATATTCAAAAATAAAAATAGTAAGTTTTCATCCCGAAAATAAAAGCCCTGCAGTAATCAAGGGTTCTACAGTCTAGGTACTTGGTTAATTTGGAAGTTTGAAAACACATAATGAAACATTACTAAATACTTAGCACTGCTTCCAAAATTTATACTTACTGAGCCACTCGAAAATGTTATAGGCAAAGTGATTCGAAACTTAAAAAAAAAATTATTAGAATAATTTCAACTCTGGACGAAAATCACAATTGCTGTCCTACTCCGTCGGCTGGGAAAATTACACAGCGATAGTCCAACTTAAAAGTTAGGGTACCAACCCAAAGTTCTAACGTTATTGACAACAATCATTCCTAACTATTGTAGCCTAAAGGAATAAATAAATTCAGCGACAAATTGTCAACTGGAAAGGAGGAAGTACTTCACTGAATTTTGGTTAACTCTTTCAAATTAGGCTGGATAGAAAACGTTATGTTATTATCGTTTTCTCGTTCAATAATGTAGCCTGAATTTCATCCGATTACTTATAATCCCATGAATATGAATCTGAGGATGATTTCTTGTTTTTCTTCTCTGTGTGTTCCTGTTTGTTTGTTTTGACGAGGTTTAGGTTTTTAGACTTCTAATTTGTAAACATCGCCACAAGAATCTCCTCAAATTTCAATCAAATATATCATTTTCTACATCTGTAATATTAAGGTTCGAAACCGACTTTGGATTAACTCGTGTGTCCTCTTGAGTACACTAAGGCCTAAAGTACTTTCCACAAAATAGCTGGAGATATGACATAGAATCGTGTTATATTTCCCATAACATTGAAGTTTCAGTAAAGCACATCATTTTTATTTCGGTCTTTACCCTTACTCAACTGATGCGAGACAGACAAACTTCAAATCTTATAAACATCTAATTGTTGAAGGTGCCATTTTTGCTGACAAGAGGTGCCATTTGGTTAGTTTTGGATCAAAAAATGTTTAAATGGAGATCTAATAAGCATGACTTCAATGTTGTCATTGATTTTTTGAAATTAGCACTGATAAATGATGTGAAAGTACGTGTCTTGGTTTCTACTCGAACTAAACTAACTAAACCGCAACATTAGTCGATACATATCACACAAACTGCTTTGTCAAAAACTTTCAAACTAGAACACATTCAGCTGTGGTCTCCAGGGATTTGTATGGAACTTTTCAAGTTCTTTACCTTAATTTTATTTTCTGGTTTTTGCCATCAAAATGAATCTGGCTTTTTCTACGGGTCAAGTCAAAATCGTTTACTGTGGATTAAATTTCAAGCGCGCCAGTTTGAAAAATTTTACTTAATAACACTTTTATACGGAGCTTTCACAATTTTTTCTCTTAGCTATTTTAAACTTTAAAAAGGGCGATGCCTGCATGTTAGCAAAGACTGAGTAAAATCAAGTGAGGCTTGACGACTGTCAGTGCGCGGTGCGTACTACCTATCAGACAACGTATCGATCTTTTCGCTCTAAAGCATTCGAGACCGATCTCCCCACGAGAGGTGATTTCCGCGCACTCGCGTGTTTTACTCGCTCAATTCTAAGAAAAAATGGTCTAACAGACTACTTGTTAGTGAAATTCTTCTTGTGTTCTATTCTGTGATTCCTACATACTGATTGGCTAATTAGCTCGTAGTTAACGAGAAGAGGTTATTATCGTCTTTACAGCGATAAATACCTCTAGAAATCACCAGACAGAACTTACGTATTGGCTATATAATATCAGTAGGAAGCGGTTTTGATACTTGATTTGACCGTTAGCAAAGCCCGAGTTACGCGTTCTTATTACAGCGTTTTCTGAATTAAGTTTTGTATGTTTCAGTCTTGTCATTCCAAGAATTGAAGATTCCAACTAGTTAAACACCTTTGGTCCGAATTAGCCTTCATTTCTTAAAGCCTTATTTTGACGGACTGAGAGAATTTCCGCAAACTGAAATATAGGGCATGAACCGTATAAGCCTTAAACGCCTGCAACGACAAGAGCAAGACAGAAACACTTTTTTGGAATATAAACTTCATTGTCTGAATTCTCGCAGAAAACGTTCCAATTTATTTTTCTGTTTTGTTCGTCTTAGCCCTACCAGCCGAGGCGCTGTGGAGACAGTTGCCATGGAAACTCAAAGTGTATTTTCCTGTACGACCTGGTACGGGTGGCGTGCGGGTGTTTTGCACGGGAAGGTCAACACATCTAATTCAATTTCTACAAGAGCGATAATTCTGCGCGGTACTTAGGATAAGTGCGAAAAACTGTCAAACAAAAAATAAGCATAACCTATTTAAATAGGTGTAACTCCGTGTGGTTTAAACTAGGATAGCTAATTAAAGACGAATAAATTTAACGATTGTCAATAACAAAAAAAATACGTGGTCGTTATTAATGACAGAGTTTATTATAACAAACGCAGATTTACCCGAGAAAAATAGTTTATAAAAGTAAGAGTTCAGACAAGACAATATATACGTAAGTTCATGTGATAAATTGGCACTTAAGACTAATGAATGAAAACCTTTGGCTCAAGTCGCAAGGAACTTGAATGCTACAAAGTAAATGGTACAAAAATTAAAATGATCAGTTATATTCACTTCATTTTATAGTCTGAGACTAAATAACAAAGAAAGCACCATGACTTACGAGCCTGTTTGCTGTGATATCTCGTCTAATGTCTTCCTTTTGAGAACACCGTAGAGTTGACCACAGATAACATACTCCCCCAAATCTTTGCTATATACGTTTTCTTCCTCAAAAAAGAACAAATCGGGGCAGAAATTTTATTACCACCAACAACAAAGCCCCGAAGTTTACCTATTGTTCTCGTCTTTCTTTCCGCGACTTACCCACAAGCCACCGGTAGAGCTACAACCTGCCTTTCAAATCGAGCGACTCTAGAGTCTGATTGGTTTGTTTGCAAGTGTCCCTATTGGCTTCATTTCTTTTTAATTCTCCACTTTGAAAGCAGCTGGGGAAATCAAAATACGTCATCTTCTGGTCAAGCGAGGAAAAGACAAGCTTTTTATCTGACGACAGGGAAATACTTAAAATTAACGAATGGGAAGAAGAGATCTATGTTCGGAGTTAAATGCAACGAAAATTGTATTTCAAGTCGTCAATTGCCTTCGTTTTACGCTTTTTTTTAAAGCCGATGAAATGATGTTGGATTGTAATTCGATGAAGTCTGGTATCCTTAAAATTTACCACGAGGCAAACATAACTAGAGGATACTTTGCCGTATTTAGTCTTCTTGATAATATATGAGCACCTGGAAAATCTTTCACTTCGAAACCAAGCCTTGGCGGAAGCAAGTCAAGTTCTTTCTTATTTGGGAAGGAGCAGAAGGAGCAAGAAAATACTTATCCACAGCAGAAGCGTCTTTACTCAACGTAATGTTAACTCATGGATTGGGGATAGCTTATTGATCAACTTGGTAGCATTTTTAGTCACTCTCAAGATTGATTTGGGTCGCATCGGTCCTTTAGTGTTCACAGGTGGTTGAGTCGAAAATGACGGCCGTCGTCGCTGCTTCACGCGCCGTGACCTTTGCAAGGCGATTTATTATGGGTGCATGATTTAAGCAATATCCGGCGCAAAGTCTCCTTCGAAATTAATGCATGATACATTTCTTACTTGGAACACGCTTCCCATTTTCTTAAAAGCCATTCCAACTTTCCTTTGTTTACCTTAAGCTGTTGGATCAGATTTGTGTTTCAAACAGTGGTGAGGGCAATCAATGAAATAGGCCATTTCCGAGTTCCAAAAAATCTCACTTTCAAAACGAGGCTAAGTGCGAAACCTTTGTTGTGAAAATGAGTTTCATTTGCATCATCATTAAAAATCATTTTCATATCAATGGCTTCGCACTTAGCCTCGCTTTGAAAGTTTGATTTTTTGGAACTCGGAAATGGCCTATTGCTGGAGCAGTTGTTGACCATGGCAATCTGGTAGTTCTTTGTGCAATATTAGAGGCGTTTGTAAGCTTCTTACCGTGTCAAGCTTCCTGCGAAGTACAGCGTTGGTTGTTTTCTCCATCCTTCACAAGCACTAAGATTTTACTGCTACTGGTCTCCATGATTTGTATATTACTTATATTGCAGTTGCTTTTCTGTAAGAAAGCTAACTGCTTCACTCCTTTGATCGCAATTTACTTCATAGCTCAATTCCTTCCTCTCCATGTATTGATTACACATTGGCAAAGAAAACTCTTTGATTAATTTTTTTTAACGACATGTCTAATTAGTACCCTAGGGGGTACTCCGAATTTCAAGTGAGGGGATGATTGAATGGAGGCAAAATCAAAACAAAAAAATGCCCTAGAACTTCCAAAAAAAAACCCCAAAGATCCCTGGAGCAAAAATTAACTCTAAAAAAATTCCATGCGGAATTTTCCGTGCCTTTTCCAGAAAACATTAAAGATTTAACACAAAAAGTAAAAACATCAGAAATAGAATGTTTGTGTTTTTTATTAGTCTCGCTTGAGTAAGCAGCTAGACTCATAATCTGCAAGCCGTTTTATTTTCTTCGTATTTAGTACACAAAACGACGGCTGTGGTCCCAGGCGTTCCTGGCGGAGACCGTGGAAACTGGGAATAACAATCGTCATGACTTTCATTGTATGCAAATTAGTCGTGCTGAGTTTGCGGTTTATTTGCGACGATGATTGAAATGACGCGCCATGTTCTATTGTTCCCGTACGTGCGGTAAAGCGTAACCTTCGGAGCCGAAGGGACTATGGTCGGTACCTGTTATCTCCCATTCTTTGTTTTATAAAGCGTTGTTATGACAAGGAGGAATTTGATACTGATTGTTCTTAGGGCTATTTTTATATGCTCCGTTATTTTAGTTTGCGTTCGTGAGGATTGGCCAGTTCTGGGACTATTTTAATATCTGTCCAAGATTAAACAAGCAATTCTTGTAGCGAAATTACCATATTACCATAATAAAGATGAAATGTTTTGAATTTATACAAATTTGTGACATTTTAATTGAATGTTTGCATAGCAAAACCAACAGATTCGTGTTTGCATTTTCCCACATTGCGACTTTCAACGTTTAATACTACAAATGATTAAAAAATATTAGTTACTAGTAGAACTCAATCAACACACAAAGTAATTACGAATGGACAGAAATAGCAAGGAAATTAATCTGCCCAAACTCAATTCGAGAATTTCTGTAGAAGATCGAAGTTTTAACTCTGCCTGTGGCCTTCGAACCAACCTTACGTGCTACAGTGCACTTGCAATTTAGCAGTCACTACACGACGTGACTGCCTGGAAGAACGATTTTGTTTTGCAAGCACGTGCTTTTTTATGGACATTCGGTCCGTTGTCACTTGTCGCGATGTTTCGTTTCGTACGTTTCCCACAGATAACGCACGGCAAATATATTGGCAATAGAAAGCAAACGCGTTGAAAAAACAAGGTGCACTGAGTGATACAAACTATTAAATAATTTAAATTTCTCGTTGCAAAATAATTGTCCTCGTAGCACACGACGTTACACGTTTATGCTTCGCACCATTGGTATCCGTCATGGCGCCGATTAGTCATAACCACACGAGGAGAACGTCTCGCTACCCAGGCTACCTTAGTCCGAACTTCTCGACCAGTCAATCTTGTTTTCTCGCGTCAAACTGGTTTTTTGGGTGTGAGCATCCGTTTATTGATAAACCGATGGTCATAACTGATTGTTACTGACTGTTGCCAATATTGCACCTGCATAGATTTTGCCTAGAAGGCGAAATCCCGAGGAGGCATCCTAGTAGCTCGCGCGTATATATAGAAAAGTACTTACAGTTGAAATATGCAGTAAGTATACCTGAAAAAATCTCAATTTGCTTGATCAGGGGCCGCTTGGAAATCGTTAAGTAATGATGACGTTTCTATTGCTCACGACCGCAAGTAAGACATGGTTAGGATGACGTAAAACAGAAAATGCCCAAAGAGACTGCTTAGGGTGATTTTGTAACACTCATTGTTCAGTCATACTTCGATACTCTTTTGCGTTACGTGTTATCAGTGAAAGTTATGACCCAAAAGACACTCGTTAAGTGCCGATGAAGTTATAAGGTGCGTATACCTGTTTATATATAAACACTTGGGAGAGTTTGCCAGACAAGAGTTTATCATTCACAAATCTTTGACTGGAAACCATTTGCCAGACACTCTTTTTCTCTCTTAAAAAAGACTCTGTCCACAAACAAGCTAAACGAGTGAATAAGAGGCTAGATAGATAGATAGATAATCTTTATTTATTCACGGTACAAAATTCGTCAGCTTTAAAAATGCCTAATACTAATATAATAAAAATATTTAAATAAAAAAGCTGCTTTCCACGAATGCCGTGCCTTACAGTTCTTTGAGTAATCGTTTAAATTGCCCAAGGGACTCTGCTTCCCTTAAGTTACAAGGAAACGAATGCCACTAATGATCGGTAATGGAATATTGAGTTTATTTTCAGAGTCCCTTAGGTTATATGCGACTTCTCGCCTTTCAAATTTAGAACTAAGATAGTTTGGAGCCAGCCCGTGCAGAGACCTGTAAACCATCGTAGCTCTTTGAAATTGGCTAGCTTATTACTAGCAGAACGATGAATGATCAGAGAAATTCGCCGACAATTAAATTCTAAGCTGTTAAATTCGGAGATGGGCTTACTGTCCGGCTAATAAGATGAACGGTTTGTAAAACGTGAAAGAGAAATAGCGAAAAAATTCCAGCTTCTAATCAAATCTTTTCTTATCGTTGAGAATAAACTGATGTTCTCGAAACTGTTTTCAGATCAAAGCTGTGTAAATCGAACAGAAACAGTGCATGGAACTTGCGATTTGTTTCCTGTTTTTATCTTACCTATTGTATGAAATATGTGAAAATCTTCATTATGAATCTTTATATTTCAAAGAGCTTCACAACGACCAAGAATTAGACTACGAGAAGTCCCCATTTTTCCTCAGGGATAGTACAGCGACCGAAACGCGAGCGCGCGTGAAAATCAACTCGCCTTTCTCGCGTGGGTTGATTTTCACGCGCGCTCGCGTTTCGCTCGTTCTACACTCCCTGAGGAAAATTGGGGACTACTCGTAGTCTAAGGCAAGAATACTATTGACCGGCAACATACAGAGCGGGGGCGGCTGTAGTGTCAACTATTACTCATTATTTTTCCGTCATAACCTATGCCTAAACAGTTCTCCTTCTTGGCCCCAGCGGGACTTCTCGAGGGACTGTGGCACCCAAACCAGACTTAAGGTAGGAGGAGGAGGGAATGTCGTTTTGAGGAGGGTGCGGTTAACAACAGTGCTTTCATTGCCGTTGCTGACAGATGTGCTTTTGTCTTTAAAGGATTCTTAAAATTGAAGAGGAATTTAAATAAAAACTGACTAGAACGACTTTAAAAAATTGTGAAAGAATAAAAACACTGGTAAAAGAAGCAGGTGACCGGCTGGTTTGAACGTTTTTTTGTTTTTGTTTTTGTTTTGTTTTTTTTTGGTGTACCAAATCAATTTCGATTTTGTTTTCGGTCAGGGTGATTCTATAGTTATTGAGTGATTTGTTCGGGAAAATACGGAATCAATTCAAACGTTTAACAGAAGGAACTCAAAAGCTTAATTGAGCAGAAAATTGCTTGTGGTTTCCGCTGCATGTTTTCCCCTGTAGGTATGTCATGGTTTATGTATTTATGACTGTGAACCCTATTCGTTGAGTACACGATGGCATGAAATGTGGCTAAATGCAACGTCCGAGTAAGTGGAGCAAATTCTATGGTTTGATTATTCGATCAAGTGAAACTCTTGAAGTCTTTAGCAGTGACTATGTACTTTCACATACTATTTATTATTTTGTATAAACTGGTACCGTTCTATCCTTTGTGTCAGTAGACCAAACCCCTGGTGTGGTCATTTAAAAGAAACTCTTTAGCAGTACTATGTACTTTCATATCGTACTATTTTATAGGCCACTTCCGAATTCCAAAAACTCTCACTTTCCAAATGAGGCCAAGTGCACAACCTTGTGAAAATGAGTTTTATTTACATGAGAGTGAAAAATCCTTTCCATACCAAAGGCTGAGCACTTAACCTTGTTTTGATACAGAGGCCAGGGGAAACTCGGAAATGGCCCATATGCTGTACAAACTGGATCTGACTTTTGAGTGAGCGGACCAATTACTTTTGCGTGATACTTCTTTTAATTTTATATCATTAATCATTCGGGATTTTCTTCAATTGTGATTTTTCTACTCCCTTGGTATTGCTAGAAGTAACGGTAACTACCGTGGGTCGTATGTAAGCGTGGACACGAGACAAAACGACATGTTCTAATAGGGTGCCAGACATGACCTGTTTTGCCGCCAAACATTTGAAGTTTGACAGCCGTTAAAGCAAACTGTCGCGCCAAAGGTAAGATGTTTATATGCTTTTGGTCAGCGCGTGACCGCTCATATTTCATTTTTCTCACCTCTCGCTTGCTCAGCAAACAGCACACTTGCATCCAGAAATTATTCTTAACCTCCAAAAATTATTGCAGAGACTGATTTTGTTGAGCAAAAACAAATCAAGTCGACAACAGCCGCCTACTCCAAACTTCAAATGTTTGGCGCCAAAACATATCACGTTTGCACCCAATTAGAACATGTTTTTTCCTCACGTGTACACGCTTAGATGCAACCGATGGCAAATGGTATTGTTGAACACTGAAGTCTTAAGCTCCTTAAGGGGATATTTGTCGGTTGTCCAAAAGTTAACGAAGTCTCGCTTACGAAGTGAAGACTAACTGCTTCCTACGCTTGTTAAAGGAAACCTCCATTCTTAAAGAAAATACTGCTTAAAATGCTCTGAAAGATCCCAAAAGGAGATTATGGAGCATTTTGGAAGACATCCTTCAAAAGTGGAGGTTCCCTTTAAAACATACTCATGGACGCTGGCAGTGAAGCGGTCTTTACAACGGCTCCTCTACTGAGGCGGAGTCTTATATTTAAATGTTTGGATGGGCATTGACTTAAAGAGATATATTTTCGGCATAATGGCCACAGGATGTAACGAACACACTCAATAAAATACTACTGTATCGTCTTCTTTCAAAACAGTTTTCATTACGAGTGCTGAATAAACACGACATTGTGCGTAAAAATGGTCATTTTTACAAACGAAAAAGATATTAAGTCTGCCTAGATACCCCTACCAGGATCTAGAAAAAAATATGATTGATCTATAATAATTATTCCGACTCTACACGTAATATATAAAGAAATATTGGAACTCCCGTTGTTATTGAACTTGTTTGTTCAGTAGGCGTTTTATTGTGTTCATCAAGTGGTTCCGGCTGAAGTGTAGGGGTCGAACTTACAGTGCCTTGAACAAAGACAATTAAAAGCAAATCATTGTTTGCTCACTGACTCTTCACTGGACTCATTAAAACGACAAAACAAAAACCTACACGGATGACCTGATTTTCAACACACAGCCTTCCAGACGATCACAAGCTTTCTTATTCTGCCTCTCCGAAAAAGAAATCTTTCACGTCGAAGCTATCATGGAAGCTATATTGAGCTAAAACTTGCAAACATTAGTCAAAATATTAACAAATTTTCCAACTTGAAATGAAAAACGGAAGAAAGCATTTTGCCTTCGTTTAGTACCACCTGCTTCATGATGTCAAAAGCAACAAGTGCTCTTCACAAACTTTGACACCCTAGCGCTCCTTTGATTGGTTTTCAGGTGTGAAAACATGTCTTAAACCATTGGTCACACCGGACAGTTGGACGGAAATTGTGTTTTATTATTAAATAGCTATCCAATTATATCAATATTACCTAAGAGTCGTTTTGGTTCATGGCTTTGCCATTGTTTCACTCGGTGGGCAGCTGAATCCAGCGCTCTGATTGGTCGCTCAAGAAATAAGCATGTTAAGCTCGCATTACGTCATACCAAATAAAATTTCCTCCATTGTAATGCCACGTCAAGCACGGCAAGGTGGTTGGACGGCCTTAACGCACATGCGCGTAGGCACCCCAAGCGCCAGTATTGAAACATTTGAGAGCAAAGTCAGTTTCAGACCTCACGGTAACGGCTACTGACAAGGCTATTTTCCCATAGGAAACAAAAAGCTTTGTCACAGGTTAGTGTACTTGGAAAACATCGTAAACATCTTGGTTTGAAACACGAGCATTGAGGAACAAGCTTGTGAAGCGCAAGGAAGTAGGAGATTTAGTGGTAAACTAGATTGATTTGAATGCCAAACGCGATTCTTCCTCCGAGGGGATTACTCATCTGAACTCATATTTAGCTCCGAGCTGGTGCAGTCTTAGGAGTCGGATATTGATAAGGGAAATGAACTTCATCCAAACGGGACTTGAACATTGTCGGCGTTTGCCTCTCTTACTTGGAACTATTTACTTGCCAGTCCGTTTGGATGTGGTCTATTTTCTTTGTCAAATCGATCTGAGTTATCGGAGGAGGAGGAGCCTGTTTACATTGATATCTATGGTTGTGAAGGGAAACTCTTAACTCACAGGATCCTATTGAGGACTAAGTCACTTATACACATTTTAGTTGCTGGGAAGAATTAACAAGGAAAAACATATAACGCGGACCTTGATATTGTCCTGTGAGATTTGACATTTCTTTCCTTAGTTTCAACTTCGTAAAGTTATCACGCTCAATGATTACACTTAACGAAGCATATTTGCTGTAGCTTATGACTAAAGAAGGGGGATTAATCGTATCTAAAGCGACGATTGGTATTCAATCTTTGCCATTTTTAAAATTTACGCCATAATTTTTTTTCTGAACGTAAGGTAAATATGACATGTTTAACATCGGGTAACGAATATTACTTTTTTTAGATAGGAGGCAGAGGTTTAAATAGCTGTTAAATAGAAGAGAAATTAAGATTAATCGATATCAAGAATTTATTTCTCTTTGACAAGGAGATACTATTTTTATTTTCTTCAAGAAGACGGAATAGAATTTTCGCGCGCAAGATACTTTGTCGATGAGATGAATCGCAACTTGGTAATAATTAATGACAAATCAGGGTGTTCGAGAATCATTGATCACTTGTTCTCCTGTTCATTTCCTCGTCAGGTTATGGGGCTCAGAGGAGGCATGGGCTGCCTTCTAGCCTTATTTGTGGGCCTTGTATGGCTAGAATGCACGGTAAGTCTACCTTTTTTAGCCTCTATTCTCGAAAATGTAATTATGTATTATTAATACTCACCCATAGGTTATCTTAGCGCTTGGGCAGGTCCTATTTCGGTGGTTAGAAGTGTTTTTGCTCGTTAATCTTAGAGCGTGAATTCAACAAACCAACGCTGAAATCACGCCAAACGCCGTTATAACTGCCGTAAATGTTACCTTAATATACTGACGAGGGTTAAATGTAAATTAAGTTGACCATATCCGATCAAATGGACCCGAATATTTTTACCAGTTTAATGACCGATTTTGGATTTCAAAATTATCCAGTTACGGTTAAAAGACCCAGTTTTTTCTCTATTCTTGAAATCTAGCTTTTCTTTTAAAGAACATTTTCTTTTTTTTCTTTATTTTGTATTAACTCGGCATCTACGAAAATAGCGAGAAAGAGTTGTTTTTCTATCAAGATCCAACGTTTTAAGAAATGATGGCCTTATATTTTTCGTTTTTATTTTGATTTTGGCATTATTATGAGGCTCTTTCTCGCTCTGCTTTTCGATGCATGACAATTGTCTGATGTAAACAAAAAACAGGTACTACCAGTCAGGCTGACGGTCCTTAACTACAAGTCGAATTGCAGTTGAGGGGATTAAAAAAAGTTTATTTTTGTTGGAAATGATTGAAAAGTTCTGATAAATGTCACAAGGTAACGAAATCGAAGAACGTTAGATACCTCTGCTGATTTTTCGAGCATGAAACCGTTAAGACGCGTGATCAATTTTGCACGGTCATCGCACGTTTATATAGCTCCAACGCGGTTATTAACAAAATATACATTTTGTCATATCCCAAAAAGTTACCCTTTCTCGCAGAATCCGCATGATTAACTTTCGGACGTAAACGCAAAATAAAGTCCGAAACGGAAATAAGGAGACAGGATTGTTAGAAAAAATTTCCACAGACAAAATAATTAAACACAAATAATTTAGCTTCTTTCTGAAAACAGTGTAGAAAATGAACTAGAAACCGGAGATTTACGGCTCTCGGAAACAATTGCATATGATGCAAGAGAGAGGATAAATGCAGATATCTAGTGAGACTGTTCTTTAGGACTGAATTCGTTTCAATATATACCCTGCAGCCCATGTATAACTTCGCTTTGAAAATTCTAAAGTGTATGAAGACATGTTAAACAGAATCTCGTTTTTGCATAAGGTCAAACCCTCACCGCTTAGGCTGTTTCATGGAATAATGGCGGGCCATGTCCAGATTCATTGACATGGTCAAGTTTCCATCTTTTTTCTTTCTACGGTTAGTTTGTAAGAAAGAGGAGAGCACACACAAATCATTGTTATATCATTTTTATTCAAGGAATGGCCAGCCGTTTTTAAAGTATAATTAATTTTCACTTACTTTTGTCAACGGTATTGTTTTACGTTAGACACCTTGCTAGTGACAAACCAATGCTACTTTGTAGTATGCATTCCCTAAGCCCAGGTCACGAACCTTTTGTAGAAGGTAAACACCACAAAAAAGTGTGACCTAATGTCTTGCTAGACAAATCGAGTCAACAGGTGCTGACGGTACTTGTTATCTGTTTTATATCTTTTGAAGGCTAAAAATATTTTTTACACCAAACTTAACCCCCATAAAGCCGTTTTCTACAAACTGACGAAATGCTTTTCTTTTGCCATTGTCTTTAAGAAATACGTATTTATTCAGTTCTTTTAATCTTTCACAGGTTTACTGTAACTAGCCGGAAAAAATTCACGCCGACATACGAAATGACACTAGTCGGCACAAGATTTTCGAAACCGCTGCTAAATGATTTTTAGCAAAAACCTTCAAAAACTATAAAGAGAGCCAGTTCCTTAAAATTACAAACAGTCTATGATTAGCATCAACGTCTAAGTCATAAATATGAAAACACTAAATTTACGCTTTTTTTCTAATTAGCATTCACAGGCAATTTTACCCGACTGGCCGAAGATCGGCGACAGAATCACACAACCATTCCTTGATCAGCTTATGGTCAGTCAGCTTCTTGAACAGAATCTCACGCTAGGATTCTTCTTGAAAGGCCTTAACGGTCCACCGGGTCCCCCGGGACCGGCCGGGCCACCCGGAGAACCTGGACCTCCAGGACTTCCGGGTTCAGCCGGTTCCCCTGGTCATGTAGGTGAAGATGGTGCACCAGGAGCTACAGGAACATCCGGTCCACCAGGTCCACCAGGACCTCCCGGTATGCCAGGAGATAAGGGAGATCCCGGAGAGCAGGGAGCACCCGGTGCTGCAGGTCTTCCCGGAGCCCCTGGTCTTCCAGGTATGCAAGGTCCAATGGGTCCTGCTGGTCCAGAACCAATTATGCCGGTAAGTGAAAATGACTTACGCAACAGCTTAACATGGACATCCCCAAAATTTGTTCGGTTGTCCAAACGTCCAGTGTGTGAATGCGTTCATTTTAAACTGTTTTTGTTCATCTCCATAAACTGATCATGACAAAATTAATACCAAATTATATTTTCAAAACTGCCTTATAACCTGGACATATTGATTAGGTGAAGGATAGGGATATTCCGCTTCTAAAAAACTTGGGCCCATGACCTTAAATCTGACTTTCATGACAACTGCCTCGAATTGCCGTAACCAAATACGAAACAGAGTCACTAGCCGATCAGCCAAGGTAAAAAGAGAATTTCGATTATATTCTCATTTTGCTACAATTACTAATAGAGGACAAAATAAAAAGATTCTATTCAACCGTTATCATACAAGGACTTCATTCTGGCCAGGTTTTCATCAGCATGTTCGATTTTCTCCTGCAGAACTTTACTGTTATCTGTGAAGGAGAAAAGGGCTGGGTACAGTGCAAACAATACGAGCTCATCAAAGTTACAAAGGCATTCTGGGGTCGTGATGATCACGTTACGTGTCCCAAGATTCCTGCAGGGCTCACATCAGACAGACTGTGCGAGACGACGGCAGAAAACACCCTTAAAAAAGTCAATGGACAATGTAAAAACGAGCAAGCCTGCGAGGTGGTGGCCTCCAACATTTTCTTCGACGACGACACTTGTGGGAACATCTACAAGTATTTAAAAATTTGGTACGAGTGCATTCCGGATGAGGCGAACGCCGTGGACGTGCTGAAAGACGGTGGAAAACGAAGACGACGACGAAAGAAGAAGAGATCAACAAAAGAGAAGAGGTCCTCGAAAGAATAAACACCAACAGACTGTAGAATAACGAAATCAATTAACGCTACTACGAATATTTCAACAGCAAACTCGATTCCTGGAGCACGTTTAGCTTCGGAGTTTTTTGACCACTTTGCAAAACATTCTCGTTAACAAAAAAAGCATGCTTACTAGTTAAGCAATTTTCGCGGTGTGCAGCAAAACCCACATGAGTGAGAATCCCGGCACTTTGTGTCAATATGTATGTATATTGAAGTTTAACTTTATTTGATAAAGAATGTACCAATTGAGACCCAGGTCGCCTTGGCGACTGAATTAGTTTGATTTAGGAGGTCTTGTGATCAGGTATTCTGGTCAAGTGGGGGGAGGGATATCGCAGATTGGCCGATCTCCTCGCTCTCCACGTTGTGTTGATTTGTTTTTCTGAACACTCTGTACAATATTTTCGGGAATAATGTTAAATTAAAAACCAGAAGATCTGTATTATAGGCTTGCCGCTAGTTTCTTTGTTGGTAAGTTTGAGTTAGAATAAAAGTATAGCAACTTAAATTCACCTGACGACGTTCTGACTGCCAGCAATCTAGGAAACAGCTCAGAGCTCACGGTCCACTTAGACCAACGCTCTTTCAAGTCTACTGATCAAGGGGAACGTGAACTCTGAAAAGAATTTCGACTGGTGTCGACTCAGTCCATCACGTTGCAGGAGACTGACTCGCATGCCTATATGTATTTCAGAGAAATTAGCTATGGTTAGGTTGTAATATTTGTGAATGATCACCAGCAATGGGCTTTACTTGGAACATAAACATGATCACGGTTTACAAAAAGGAAATAAACTAGAGGTTTTCTTCAAACTGTGTTCGTCTCGATCAAAACTGCTACATGACAGATTCTGACAGCCTGACGAGGAAAAAAACACTGCTGACCACCGTTTAACTAGGCCTTTCAAACGAAATAGTGTGGAATGGCAATAACTAAACACCCGGTTTTTTTACTGCTTTGACCTCAAACTGCAAATAAAATTGAAGAGGGTCTCAACAAATCAAGACACCCTTTCCAAATTTTAAATAGAAAATTGGCCCATAACTCAACAATTATGGCGAATAGCACGAAATCCTCAATAATCACAAGTCATCTACACATTGTTAGTTCGCGTGGAATCACATATTAACCAAAAAAAACACAAATTAAAAGTTTGTTTGTCCAGACTAATACCACCAACATTATCAAGACTGATGGCACAAACTTTTTACTGCGTTTTGAACACGATTATCATCGCCAGTCAAGCGGCCGTCTGTCAATTTGTCCCATATCTAAAACATCATGAAAGTCGTGGCCAGTATAGTAGTATTTACCTAACCGAGCCTGTGGTACTAAAGCTAATATCAGTTCATAGCTGCAGCTTTGAAAAATGGCAATGCTAAACACAGCAAATAGAAAAAATAGAAAGCGACCCTGCAAATCTACGCCTATACGAGGCAGTTTACATAAGAAAATATTAGCCTACCCTCAGTTCCCTTGAGGGAGGTAGTGGACCTTTTGTTTTGGCGCTTTAGAGACTATTTTTTATACATTATGAGAGAACCTTTGTCCAGAGACACTTGGTCATTAGACCGTTGTATTTTATTCAAAAATTTTATTTCTATACCTTTATACATAGTTCTACACATTTTATCTTACACCCGTTTTGTATATATATAGCTCTGCGCGGAATATTTTCTCATCCCTGATGATGCCGTTGATCAGCCAAAGCTTAAATTAAATTTTTACTTAACAAAAACCCTGCAGTTTAAGACCTCATTAGAACTATAATTTTATTTCAATCATGCTGCTGAAGGACAACATGAACAGATTATTACAGCTATGGAAAATGGACTTCGTCGGTGTTCTTTAACTGATAGGGCTCATCCTCGGTGTAAGAACCTGTTAAACTCACAAGAGACGTAAAACAGGGGAAACAAAGAAGGCAACACAACAGAACGTAGAAAAACAAAAGGTGCGAAACAAAGAAAAAGTTCACAGGTTCTTACACCGAGGTAAACCCAGTAATAGCAATCCCATGTTTTTATTTGAACCACATACTGATAACGATTATTGCTTGTTATCGATTACTATCGATTGCTAGCGATTTTTGTCAATCCACAACAATCGACAATTTAATCTTTTGTGTGCGATAATTATCGATCGATTCGATAAAAACCAATATCAATCGGCGGATGATATAGATTGATATCAATTATATCATTACAAATGATTTGCGATATCGATTAACTACGCCTGGCAGCACTGCAAGGAAAGGTTTCAACACAGTGAAGGTAAGAATTAGACGTAACGGTATAAACATACGGTATAATTAAATTTATTTTATTGCAAAGCAGCTAAACTGGTAGCTTATCCAAGAATCATAAATTGGGTCATAGTTATTAGAGGAGAATGGTTATGAAAAGCGGCAAACATCAATGATAAAAACAACAGTGCTGCAGTTTATGTTGGAAGCACCCTGAAAGTGCACAATCCTTTGTTTTCGGTTAGCAAATTGTTACGGAATAAATTAATGCAACGTTTTTGTTGGTCAATACAATCAAAATGAAAGGAATGCTTTTGAACGTTGTGCACTTTCAGGTCCACAAAAACATATAACAAAGGAGTCGGACGGGTTTCATAACCATTCCACTCAATTAACTATGATTTGGTTCAGTCAGGATTGCTTTGGACAAGAGAGGTAGATAATTGCTTTGTGTTAGTTAAAACTAGTCACGCGCCCCATTTATTCCCAAAATGAATACATATTCCTGGCTGGTCCTTGTAGAAGATGAAAACTATATACTTATGCATATAATAAGTGTTTTTTCTCCTCTTCTGCTTCAAATTCCCCACCCTAGGGAATACCTTTTGTGTCAACTTTCCCCACTCCCTAGGAACAAGTGATTGTAAAATGCGCAGGGTTTTCAAACAAAAAATTTATTTATTAGAGCATGAATTAGAAGAGGAGAAGTTTCTACCCGCAAGTAGCCATAGCTAATCGAGGCGGGTGGTTAGAACCAAAAAAATGTCGAACTAAATACACAGATTATACAAAAAGTTTAGAAGTTTCCCTGGGGGATGTTGAAATTTACAATTGATCGGCGCATAAGGAAGTTATGTATCTCCACAAACGTTCTGATGGTGGGGAGCCGGTTTCTTCCTCCCACCACTGAATAGAAGCAGAATAGAAGCATCGAGTTTACCGGTGTATATCTGTACAGTCAAACCTCCTTAATACTGACACCAAAGGGGCAGAACCAAGTGTCCGCGTTACAGAGGTGTCTGTATTATAGAGGTAGGTAATGTATGATTTTTGGCATTTCTGGGACCAAACAAACTGTCCGTAATAGAGAGGTGTCCGTAAGGAGAGGTTAGACTGTACTTGCTTCAGACATCACCTTCGAAAAGGGTTCTCTGGGGGAAATTATTGCTTACAATAAAAAGACTTCATGTAGTTGTATATACCACAAAAAAAATCAGATTGGTATGGTTTTTTAGGGTGTCGGAAATCGATCATGGTGAGGCCCGTGATATCCACGAAGTTAGGGTATAACAGAATAGAATAGAGTGGAGTGGAATGTGATGTGATGGGATGGGATGGAAAGGTTTGACTCCTGTTGGGAATTCTCTGATTTTTCTCCCAAGCCGCCCGTGTCATTGACTGAAGAGGAAAATCATCTTTCTTATGTTTTTACCAGGCTTAAAACTCGATATCACATTTCTATAATTGCGCATAAGCACGCATTGACATTCCACTCCCACGAGTACTGCAGGGTGTTTGTACATAACCTAGTTCAGTTGCCTCATTCTTTGGAGAAAGTGTATTAAATATAGTAGTGGAGCGTCCGCGCGCGCAGCGTAGCCACATACCTAACAGTAAATGGAAACCAATTAATTTGGTTATGACGTCAGCGTACGCCAATACGTCCATACAGACGAAGGGGTTAGGTGTAAAAAACATAGTAGGATACGGAAGAGAATTTTCGGTAACAATTTTCTAGGCTTTACTTTTTGCTTGGTCACGTTTTTGGTCACAACTCAAGACTAGCCCGCCCCCCCCACCCTATTTGGTCAAACTTTTGACAGGTGAATTCATGCGTGAAAACTCATGCATTATCTGTCGACAGACTTCTTGCCGGGAAGTTTTTTCTCTTTTCAGTTAAGTTTTAAAACTATCGTGTTCTTGTACTGTCGCCGCGAAATGAAATACAACTGCTGTCAAGTTTCATTTTCTGTTTTTCAAAACTGAATTGTTAATTTCGTTTTTCGTTGAGGAGAGTGTCGGGATTAATCCATGGCTACGTTTGTGTTAGTCCATGCAAGCACTTACGGCAGACTACAGGAGAAATCTTTTAAAATTACAAATGTTTAACTATTCGTGTTCTTTCACTACCCCCACAAAATGAAATACAGCTGCTATCAAGATTCTCCTGTTATTCGAAGCTGGTTTGCTTATTTCATTTTGGGGCTGAGGAAAGCTTCGCCACGAAATTCAACGAAAGTGAAAGTTGAACATGGAGGCTTTTACAGCAGAGTACGGGAAAAGTTTCTGACCTCACTTACTCGCTTTCAGGAGCTGCATCCCTGGTGAGCTCAGAGGGGGCCCCACAACTTAGCGAAATTTCGTATATCTATGATCCGATTTATGACATCACATCCGGTTGCAGAGTTGCTGCTCTGTTTTCGAGCGAGGCACAAAGATTGAAGCCGCAAAAGCCAAACTCTTGAGTGACGCTCGATTACAAACAGCGAAAGACTCGCCATGACATTCCTCAAAACCATGCAGTTGAGTGGACGTTTCTGCAACTTTACGGGGCGTGATACAGCCTTCCAGCGGTGAACCTTTTTTAACTGTGGCCATCAGCGTTTTCCCCATTCTATTCCGCTCAGGAAATTATATTTTGATTGATGAATTCTCAAAATCAGAGGCCGCAACAGCCGCAAAACGTTAACGACACTCGTTTTGAAACATCTTAAGACTCGCCATGACATTCCGCGCAGCTGCATGATATTTATCTTTAAAATAATGCTAAATCTTCTTTGTTTGGTCATGACATTTGCTTGAAAGGCCGGCTATATACCTTCTCAACATTCTCGGCATTCACTATACATAATTCCGTTAGCCTGTGGGTTAAAATAAGGAAGAAACCAAATAGCATCGGACGTCCATCTTGGTGCTTCGCGCCAAAACAGAGCAGCAACTTTGCAACCGGATGTGATGTCATAAATCGGTGGATCATAGGTATACGAAACAAGTACCAAGCGCTATTGGAGTCGTGTTCCCCCCTCCCGATTTAGTTTTGTTGTTAAGTCAGGCGTATGCGTAACTATTAAAAACTGAATCACTGGATAATACAATTCTACTGCTCTGGTTGGCTTAGCCATCATTGTATATGAGCCTTTAGTATATACACACTCAGCAATCTTGGTGATTTAAGGAATCTGATTGGTTCGCTATCTCGGACTATTCAACAACATTTACCTCCTAGTGAGTGGATAATGTGTGAGCTCGATTTTTTCCCCATGATTTTAGAGAACGAGCTTTTAAAAGTCGCCAGAATCCTAGGGTCGACTTTTTTTTAGGCAAGAAAAGACTTCGAAGGATTCAAAATGGCATTTTTCCATTTACTGTGGCTGAGTTTTGTGGTCGATAGATCGTTTACAACTCCCGTTTATTTGCGTAGAAGATGCCGTTTCGTTTTCTAACAAGAAACATTTGGCCCAAAACTCGAAGTTTATTTAT